ACAAAGGCCATGGGATCACAAGTCTTGAATGTGTCCAGACCTTTCCTACTCTAACAGAAACCTTGGAGTGCCACAGGTGTTGAGATCCTCTCTGTTTTCCTAGTCTTGTTAGTAAATGAGTAAGGACTGACTCAGAAGAAGGCTTGAGGACAATTTTATCAGTGTTTAAAAGAAAAACCTCTGTAGATGGATTTTTCTCTGAGCAGCTGGCTCATAAAAAATGACATGGAGACTTACTAATTATGAAAGCTTAGGCTTGTTCCTAAGTAGCTCTTATAACTTAAGCTAACCTGCTCTTATTCGTCTGTGTTCTACCACACAGCTTTTTACCTTTCTTCCATTCTGTATGCTCCACTTCCTCCGCATCTCCTTGGCAACTCTTCTGTGCCTTGATTATCTCGTCCTGCTTCCTCTCTCTGCCTGGGAGTCTCGCCTTTACCTCCTGCCTCGCTATTGTCCATTCAGCTCTTTATTACCCCAATCACAGCAGTGCATCTTCACAGTGTACAAATATCCCACAACAACACTGAGACAAAGAGCTAAGTCTCCACAACTGTTCTGAGAACATGATGATGAGGAAGAGAGAAAACCATGTGGTTTGAATTAAGATGTGTGTTCAGTAATGGAGGCCAAGCCAGGTGGTGGATAGGAAGCCACCTAATAAAAGCGTGTGGGAAGCTTCAGAGAAAGAGTAAGGAAGCCCAGTGTCAGAGAAAGCATGCTTAGGAGGAGGAAAAGGAAAGGAAAAGTTACACTTTTCTAAGTAAGTACTTAGAAAAACAGATATGCGCCGGGCGGTGGTGGCGCACGCCTTTAATCCCAGCACTCGGGAGGCAGAGGCAAGCGGATCTCTGTGAGTTCGAGGCCGGGCTAGACCGATAGCCTCCGAAACAATACAGAGAAACCCTGTCTCGTAAAAACCAAAAAAAAGAAAAAAGAAAAGAAAAACAGATATGCTTAACAGGGCTATGTCTCCCTAAATGACTACACCAGGTATAGAATTTTTGTGAAGGAAAAGTACATTATCTCAAAAAAAGTACAGTATGTCATTAAAAGGATAATTATTCCTCCCATCTCTTTAGCTTGGCTTTAGGTGAATTGGTCTTCCCAAGGAATGATCCCTTAATCCAGTAATTGACTAGTCCAATGGACTAACCTTTATGTTTGGATTAGCTTGGACTGTAGGTGCACCCCGACACACACAGACACACACTCACACACTCGCATGCATATACACACACACACACAGGTCTTCAGTTAACCTCTTGTGGCTTATATACCCTAGCACCTCCCACAATTAAGCGCAGGATTGTGCGCCAATAGCACAGAGGAACAGGAGTAAGTAAACAAGACCTTAGGTGAAGGCCCGCCCTCCTTCTATTTGGAAGCACCAACAGTCAGCACATCAAGCTTTGGGGGTGTTCACACGTGCTTAAGCTGTTCTGATGAAGATGGCTGCTATTCTGAACACATTGCTCCACAACAAAAGTTATCCCAAGTCCCACTGGGGAGGCTGGTTGGCTAAGGATCCATATTCTCTCACATCCGAAGAGCCTTGTAAAGCGCCTGCTTCGTGGGTCCTTACACCCAGACTAAGTGCTCAGTTTACCATGGTGACTGAAGTTTAGTGTCAGGTGTGCCCCACCAACTCCAACAGTCCTTGCTCAGCCATGAGTCTGAGGGTGATGCCGTGTGGCGAGATTTACCTGCATCTACAGCACCTTTTCAGAAAGACTGTGTTGATCTGCTTTCTGATGCTATGATAAAACTGACCAAAAGCACCTTGGGAGAAAAGGGATTATCTGGTTTATACTTCTAAGTGCCAGTCTGTCATTAAGGGAGGCCAGAGCAGGAGCTCCAGGACCCTGGAGGATAGAGGGGACATTGCTCATTATTTGTTCCCAGGCTCACATTCCACTACCTTTCTTTAAAAAAATATTTTACACTCTAATCCCAGTTCCCCCTCCTTCCCCTTCTCCTACTCCCCACCCACCTTCTCCTCAGCCCACCCCCATTTGCTTCTCAAGGAGGGTAAGGCCTCCCATGGGGAGCTAATAAAGTCTATCACCATGTTGAGGCAGGACCAAGGCCAAGCCCCTCTCTCCTGTGTCTAGGTTGAGCAAGGTATCTCTCCACAGGAAATGGGCTCCAAAAGCCAGTTCATGCACTAGGGATAGATCCTGGTCCCACTGCCAGTGCCCCCACAAACTTCCCAAGCCTACCCACTGTCCATTCAGGGGGCCTAGTTTGGTCCTATGCAGGTTCCCTACCTGTCAGTCTGGAGTCAGTGAGCGCCCACTAGCTTGGGTCAGCTGTTTCCGTGGTGTCCACATCATGGTCTTGGCCTCTTTGCTCATGTTTTTGCTCCTCTCTCTCTTCAGTTATACTCTGGGAGCGCCACAGAAGGGTTAGTTGTGGATCTCTGCATCTGCGTCCAGTGATGACAATTACAGTAGTCCTCAGTCTGATTACAGGGGCAGGCCAGTTCAGGTACCCTCTCAACTATTGATTAGAGTTTTATCTGGGGTCATCTTTGTGTGTTCCCCGGGAATTTCCCTAGTGCCAGGTTTCTCGATAATCCCACAATGGCTCCCTCTATCAAGGATTCTCTCCCTCTCTGTCCTTCCCCCAACTCTACCACCCATTCTCCCATGTTCTTGTCCCCATTCCCCTTTCTTACACCCCTCTCCCTTCCACACTCCCCCCCCTCCTATCCTTCCAATTTGCTCAGGAGATCTTGTCTATTTCCTCTTCCTAGGAGGATCCATGTATGTCTCTCTTAGGGTCCTCTCTATTAGTCTAACTTCTCTGGGGTTGTGGACTATAAACTGGTTATCCTTTGTTTTTTTATGCCTAATAACCACTTATGAGTGAGTACATACCATATTTGTCTTTCTGGGTCTGGGTTACCTCACTCAGGAAGGTTTTTTTTTTTTTTTTTTTTTTAGTTCCTTTCATTTGCCTGCAAATTTCAAGATGTCATTGGTTTTTTCCACTGAGTAGTACTCTATTGTGTAAACGTACCATATTTTCCTTATCCATTCTTCAGTTGAGGGGCATTTAGGTTGATTCCAGGTTCTGGCTATTATGAATAATGCTTCTATGAACATAATGGAGAAAATGTCCTTGTGGTGTGAGTGTGCATGCTTTGGGTATATGCACAAAAGTGGTATTTCTGGATCTGGAGGTAGATTTATTCCCAGTTTTCTGAGAAACTGGCATACTGATTTCCAAAACAAGTTTGTACTCCCACCAGCAATGGAGGAGCGTTCCCCTTTCTCCACATCCTCTCCAGCATAAACTGTCATCACTGTTTTTTTATCTTAGTCATTCTGATCAGTATAAGATGGTGTCTCAGAGTTGTTTTGATTTGATGACCAAGGATGTTGAGCAATTCCTTAAATGTCTTTCAGCCATTTGAGTTTCTTCTGTTGAGAACCCTCTGATTAGGTCTGCATCCCATTTTTTTTTTTTTTTTTGGTTTTTCGAGACAGGGTTTCTCTGTGGCTTTGGAGGCTGTCCTGGAACTCGCTTGGTAGTCCAGGCTGGTCTCGAACTCAGAGATTCGCCTGCCTCTGCCTCCCGAGTGCTGGGATTAAAGGCGTGCGCCACCCACGCCCGGCTGCATCCCATTTTTTAACTGGATTATTTGGTATTTTGGGGTCTAGTTTCTTGAGTTCTTTGTATATTTTGGAAATCAGCCCTCTGTCAGATGTGGGGTTGGTGAAAATGTTTTCCCATTCTGTAGGCTGCCATTTGTATTGTTAACTGTGTCCTTTGCCTTACAGAAGTTCTGTTTCAGGAGGTCCCATTTATTAATTGTTGCTCTCAATGTCTGTGCTATTGGTATTGTTTTTAGGCAGTGGTCTCCTGTACCAATGCATTCAAGGGAACTTTCCACTTTCTCTTCTATGAGGTTCAATTTGGTTGGATTTATGTTGAGGTCTTTGACCCATTTAGACTTGAGTTTTGTTCATGGCAATAGATATGGATCTATTTGTATTCTTCTACATGTTGACACCCAATTAAACCAGACTGTTTGTTGAAATGCTTTCTTTTTTCCATTTTCCATTTTTACCTTCTTTGTCAAAAACCAGGTGTTCATAGGTGTGTGGGTTAATGTCAGGGTCTTCTATTTGATTCCATTGGTCCGCCTCTGTGTTTTTATGCCAATACCAAGCTATTTTTATTACTGTAGCTCTACAATAGAGCTTGAAGTCAGGGATGGTGATGCCTCCAGAAGTTCCTTTATTGTACGGGTTGTTTGGCTATCCTGGGTGGGAGTACAAACTTGTGCAGCTGCTGTGGAAATCAGTATGATGATTTCTCAGAAAACTAGGACCTATCTACTTCAAGAGCCTGCAATGCCACTGTTGGGCATATACCCAAAGGAGGCACACTCACACCACAAGTACATCTGTTCAACTATGTTCATAGCAGCATTATTTGTAATAACTAGAACTTGGAAACAACCTAGCTGCCCCTCAACTGAAGAATGGATAAAGAAAATGTGGTGCATTACACAATAGAGTACTAACTTGCAATAAATGGACAGAACTAGAAAAAACATGCAGATCCAGAAAGACAAATACAGTTTGTACTCACTGGTAAGTGAATACCAGACATAAAGCAAAGTATAACCAGCCACAATCCACAACCCCAGAGAAGCTAGACCCCTTTTCCAGAAACAGATGGAAGCAGATGCTGAGATCTATAACTAACCATTGGGCCAACCTCTAGGAGTACAATTGAAGTGAGGGAGGAGCAGCGAATAACGTGAGCACAGGAGTCAAGACCGTGATGGGAAAACTCACAGACTCAGCTGACCAGAACGGATTCCACAGTGTCAGTAATGCCATTCCCAGGAATCCGATGCTCTTTTCTAACTTCTTGTGCACCAGGAACACACGTGGTGCACAGACATATGTCTGTGCACATATATACATATATATGTATATATATGAACAAAATACTCATACACAAAATAAATCTAAACAAAATATGTTTCAAAGATTGGTTTTATTTTTTTAAGCTCCTTAATGAGTACATTAGTACACAGATCTCAAGGTCAGTCAGGGTCCATCATCTTTCTTTGTAATTAGTCCTTCCTGGCTCGCCTGCCCATAAAGGCTGCTTAACAGGGATACAGTGTACCCTGTGGACACAGCAAACCTGTCATGGTGCCAGCAGCACTGAGCACTGTCACCAGGTCCCAGACATTGCTGATTTTCAGGGATGATTCTCATGGTTTTGGATATTTTAGAGCTAAGCTGTGTGTTTTCTGTATTAAGACATAGAAATGACCAGTGTTTCTTGTGTAAGGCCTAGGAAGTTTAAAAATGTAAATATTTTTAACATAGCAGTAAAAGGACGGCTGCTTAAGTATGAAGGAGTCAGTGCAGAGAACAGTTGCAGAGAACGACGGCCAAGCAGGTCTAGCAGTCCCTGACCACTCTCAGGAAGCAAGTCTACGCATGGCCTGTGGAAGAAAAGGGAACAAGATATTGACCAACTTAGTTCTTTTTAGCGGCACATTATTGTTTTTAAAATGTGTTTTTCTAGTATTGGTTGCTTGATCTTACCCAGGTATTATAATTTAAGAAAAAAAGGAAAGAAGACAATTTCAATTCTCATCATACTTCTAATTGCATTTTATAAAGCACTGATTACTGTTCATTAGGACACTAAGTACAAAACCCTAATCTTCTCATGCAGCCTGAAATTTTCACCACTCTGTATAACCAGATACTGAAATGAAACAGGTTTGTGCTGACTGAATAGCCAGTAGGTATCAGATCAGGAGCAGCTGAAGGCCTCTCTGGTTTCAAATCTCAACTGCTACAAAGCTTCATAACCTTAGCAGCCATGGCTGAGCGATCAGTCTATGTGGAAATTAGTAACTATCTGTTCCACGGTGTGGCAGCCACTCAAGTTTGTTTGTTTATTTATTTATTTGTCCATTTATTTCTTGGGAGTAAGATCTCTAGTCCAGATTGGCCTCAAGTTCCAAAAGTAGCTACGATACCCTTCAACTTCTAATCTTTCTTGCTTCCACCAACAAAGTGCTGGAATTACAGGAGTCCATTTATTCTGTGCTGGCAATCGAATCCAGGTCCTCAAAGGGTCATAAATTACAAAGCTTGAAGGAATTCTAGGTTTAATTATGACTCTCATAGGCTTACACCAGGCTTGTGATTTTCATTCTGACATTACTTTCTTCTGTGAAATTATCTGCCTGACTTTACTACAGGGGTTTGAATGTTACCCAGTACTTTTCATCAGGACCTCCAAAGCCATTGTAGCTTGCTTATCAGATTTGTCTACAAAACAGAGTCAAAACTGCTGATAAACTGAGCCTAAATGCAGCCTAGCAGAACTGAATGTGATCTTGCATTTGAGAGAGAAATCAATTGCCTAAGTATGAATGGAAAACCCAGGTCCATCATAGTTTGTGTGAAAATGCATGGGTCTTTCTTTGACTCCTGTTCAACAGAGCTCAAGATTTTGATGTTCCTATGATATAAACAGACATATGTTCTTTAAATATCTTGCTGAGCTCAAAATGGTCATGGTTACATGGTTTCCATGGCACCCTAACTACTTGTAGGTCCTCTTGTTGGCCAGTAAAACATTGACAGACTGCATGTCTGTGAAGACAGAAGAAACGGAAAAGGCCGCCTTGGGAGTCTGGTGGAAACAGAGGTACTGTCAATAAGCAATGGGCTGGCCCAAGGGAAGGAAGGCCTGTGTTGCTAGGCAAGCATAGCTGGGCGGTTATTACAGAAAGACCAAGTTCACTCTTATAGGCATAATTAAAAGGGATTTCTATCCATGGAAACTTCCTTTGAGAAGTCACTGGTTGCCAGTGTCTGGAAATTTTCACAGAGAATCTAAATTAAGCGAATCAGGTTAATGTAGGAGAGATTTGTGCATGGGCTGGGATATCATATTGTAGGTTTCTAAGAAATCTTTCAACTTAAAGTTCTTTTAATTACTTCTCAGCCTTTTGGCTAAGATCAAGTATCAAGTTATCTTATTTTTATTTCTATCCTTTGCTGATTTCATGAAAAAAATGACCTGACCTTCCATTGTTGCTCTCATTTCACTTAGATGTAAAACCCTACAGTTTACTCAGATTCCCCAAGGTCAGTCAGCTTTCCTAGGAACAGTGTGATGGCATAAGACCTGAAGCAGCCTCAGCTGGTGAAAAGGAAATGTGTAAGTCATCATCAGTCAGGTGGAGAACGGCGCTGTGTCCCCTTTCCCTACCCCATAGCCTTCAGTCTCTAGAAGAAGTGTGTTTTGTGCTCAGTATAAAATCAGAACTAGCCTATGGCTACCAGTCAGTGGTCATCTCTGTGTGCCTGGGATTAAAGTTCCCCAAGTCCTCGTCATCCTTGAGAAAATTTCCTTTCCATTTCTCCTCCTATGTAGTTATTCCTTCCAGGATGCTTTTTGGATTTTTCCCTGGGTGGCTCTTAAACTACTCACTGCTTGTTGACTCCATTTATTCAATATTAAATCCAATTATTTTTTATATAAGAAAATAATGACCATACCTCATCCTGAACATCAAGTTCTTCCTCATTCTTCTCTGCTTCCATCAGTTCAAGAGGATCCTTACAGTCTTGAATGAGAGTGATCTTGACAAAGAACACGCACAGTGTTTATTGGAAACACAATAGCATCCACTGTAACACACACCACTGGAAATGGTAATGTCACCTGTAGCCTATAGACTCCAGAGTCCTCTTCTCATTTCCTGTTCCTTCATAGTTCTCATCTTAGGACTTTCCCTCTCCCTTTTTTACATTTAAACTGGTCGAGTTTTCCACTGTACAAAGTACTTTTACAGCTCCCTTCTCTGCCTCTGAAGTATGTGCCTCTTAACAAGACAACCCCAGCCATGCGGCCGATACTACTTGTCTTCTGACAGCTAAGCTAAGGACACTTGGTACACTTTGAGCACACTTCGATTATATCACCATGTGCTGGTGACTGAGGACATTATAGGATCCCAACTTTAATTTAGTGGAATTTAATTTTCTTGGAGGAGTTGACCGTTTAGGACATTTTTGCTTTTTATAGATAATATATCATTTAGTAGAGGATTAAATACAACTTGCGTTTGTCTTGCTCTTTGAGAAGGATATTTCTAAAGCAATACAAAATATATACTATAGCTAAAATGCCATCCTGTAGTACTGGTTTAATGTGTGACCTCAAAATCTGTAAGAGCTAGCTTTGTTTTTCACCTAGGGTTAGAAAACTTTAAGTGGGATAGGCACTTACGAGTTCAACCAATGGCCTGCAAGCCAGAGGCCAGGCCTGCAAGCCAGAGGCCAGGCTGGCTTTCAGGCTAGACTGGGTGACATGTTTACCGTCTCTAGAAGGGAATCCTGGCTCTGCTGGGATTTAACTTGGTTCTTCAGATAGAGTATGGCGTCGTGAACGGTCAGAAAGAATCTGTCCTTCCTGATGCTGTCGTCGAAGAACCCACACTGCTCCATCTTTTCTAGCACATCGTCTGCAAAGGAAAAGGAGGCTTTTGTAACATCAAATGCTATCATTTTTTGGTAGCACCTTTCACTGTTTTCTCATTCCCAAATTGTGACCCTCCTCTAACATTGCTGTCTTTCTTAGCCGTCAACATGCAGAATAGTTATCCCACAGTTCATTGCAGCCTGTCTTGGTGACCCTTTTGCCAATCCAATGTTCCCATCCCCCAATAGCTGTGAACCTGGCTGCTGGTTCACAGCTTTCCCTTCTTTGGCCACAGGGAGCTGTCTAACTTGAAGAGACCTGCTGGGCGGCAGGTGCCCCCCACATACCTGTCCTGCATCCACTTACTGACAGTTGAGGGTATAAAGTGGGACTTTGCATAACCGCGTCTGTGCAGTCACTTGTGAAATCAAACTTCTGACATAAGGTGCTCAACCAGCTTCATCTCCTGTCCTGTCCCCCTTCCCTCACTCCCTCAACCACGTGTGCACAAATCCCTGTCCCAGGGCCTTCGAGAGAACTCATCCTAAGCCCTGGTGCCCTCCTCTACATACGGACAAGATGCAGAGACTCATGACCGTGGTGTTTCTTCTGTTCCAAGAGATCTTAGTGGTCTCACCTCTACCACCCCAAAACCATGTCCTCACAGGCACAACACCACTGTCAGAGACACGCGTCTATGCTGTGCCAGCTCTGTGGCACAACTGGAATCTCCTAGCTCAGAAATTCCCTAAGCTACTGTAATTGGTACAGTTGTTTGTGGCGATGAAAAGCTTTGGAAACAGCACACAATTATTTGATATTGTGATTAACGACATATTTAAAGGTAACTAAGACGGCATTGTCTTAGACATCTGTACTACAATACAAAATAGTTTTCTCTTAATTTTGTTTGGCTTTTAGAAGACCTTTAAACATTGTATATTCACATTCCAAGGGAGGAGGTGTGGGGCAGTTTGATAGATGTGCACACAGGCATTTACCTTGAAGCAAAGCAAAGTACACATTCACGTCAATTCTCTGAAATTCTTTCACAATCTAAAAATAGAGAAGAATTTAGGCATATTGAAACATTTGCTCGGGAGAAATGTCAACATTTCTATGGTTAGTCAAGACTTTGAGGGGAGCTTATTACTGGAAACCCATAGATATTTTCAGCCTTAGATGATGCCGCATATAAAGATGTATATGTATGTATCTTAAGAGACAGCACACCAGCCGGGTGTTGGTGGCGCACGCCTATAATCCCAGCACTCGGGAGGCAGAGGCAGGCGGATCTCTGTGAGTTTGAGACCAGCCTGGACTACCAAGCGAGTTCCAGGACAGCCTCCAAAGCCACAGAGAAACCCTGTCTGGAAAACAAAAACAAAACAAAACAAAAAAAAAACCAAGCAACAAAAAAAAAAAGAGACAGCACACCAAGTAAGGTAGCTCACGAAGGTAAAGCAAGGGACTTTTAATTCAAGGATTACATAGCAAGACCTGTTTTGAAAAAGACAGAGAAAGAACAGCATCCATTGTAGGGTAGGCAGCCATTCACAACACTCAATAAATATTCGTAGAAGGAAGGAAACAAGGAAGAAGTTAGGCTTCCAAGCAGTTCTTACTGTTACAAAAAGTAGAAGACTTATCTAACAGTAAGATCTCACTAGACATCCAGGTCTTTGTTTTAAATGTACCAGTGTCAATTATCTAGACTGGACTCTTGAACCATAGTTTTCTATACCATGTATCCCTCTAATATCCCTCAAAACTAAATGTGACTTTACAATGACCATTAAAAGTTTTATTTTTAAAGAATCCAGACCCTAAGCCTGTGAGCAACAGGAATTGTCACTGTAACATAAGCAACCATTCAAGCGTGGACCATACTGTGGTATTAGGCGTCTACAGTCATTAAACCAACTGGCCAGTGCAATCCCTAATGGGTCTGAGTCACTGCTCAGAGCCAGGTATACAGCAAAGAGCCAGCATGCGTTGTCAAAGGAGCGAGCAGACCTGCTGAGACAACAGGGCCTCACAGCACACTCTCACAGCATCTTGCCAAGTGCAATTACTTACCCACCTAGCACCCAGACCCTGGCATCAGTGTCCGCTCCTGCAGTGGCAGCACCCTGCTAAGATGAAACTAGACAGGAGCCTGCTTCCTGAAAACATATCTGCAGCTGGTGCCTTACCCTGCTGACCTCTCCGTCTGACCCTCTTGATACCTACCCAAGGCCCCATCTAAATCTGACTCTTGGGATCACCCCTACTGCAGTTGTCTGTGCTGGTGTTTACTGTTTGCCTTCTTCTCTACTCGGGCAACCACGCCTGCCTCCACACACGAGCAGTTAGCACATGCCAGAGCTGCGGAGGGTCTGCTGTCACTCCCGGCCTGTGAATGCTTGTGTCCTGCATGTGGCTCACTCTTGCCCTGACCTTGCTTCTTCCCGATGCCTGCCCATTGCTGTTCCACAACGAGTGGAGTAAACACTTAACACAAACTGTCCCTTCCCTTGTTTTCACGGTCCACTAACATTCTCAGAAAAAGGAAACATACTCAGAGCTAACATCTTCCCAGAGATGTCTGTGTGCCAGATACTCTTCTGAGTCCCTTACATGCATTGTTTATTTGTTCTTCGTGATACCTGTGTAGTAAATACCATCATTGCATCTATATGACAAAAGAGGAAGCCAAGACAGAGGCACACTAAGAAACTTGTTCTTGGTAGCAGAGGCAGGACTCTCCTCACAGAGCCTGACTCCAGAGCCATGCTCTATTTCCAAAAAGGAAGGGGAGGAAGGGGAGAAGGAAGGAGAAGAAAATTCACTTAGACAAACTACAGAGCCCTTTCACACAGCCAAGTGACCCATCCTACCACTTGATCATTGCCGGTGTCCCACGTCTATGGTAAAACAACCAGAAGCTCGCTCACCATTCGCAAGGACCTCACTCCTACCACATCCAGGAAAGACACGGCCGCACAGTCCAGCACCAGGCTGTGGATTGGCACTTTGGGGACATTCACTTTAACCGGGAGCTCAGAGTTCCAGTCCACTTGAATCTCAATTTCTTTGGTTGGGATATCAAGCTCCTCTGGCTCCTCAGCATCTTCATCGGGTTCAAAAGCATGATTTGAAGAGCCAGCATCACTTATGATCCCGTTCTGACAAAGAAAACACCACCAACTTCATTGTCAGTAATACCAAACACCTTTCACTAATTCATCCCAAACTGCTTAAAAGCCCTGCATGAACTATTTAGAAAACAAAACAGCAAGGGGACGCAGTGCAGAGGAATGGATGTTCCTGCTATCCGTACCTTGGTGCTCTCCAAGAAGGAAAGAAGAACAAGGCTTCTGGATGGTTGTGGGGCTTTCCCAAGAGATACAGGAAAGTCACCGTTCATGAAATTACCATTGTAGTTTTCTGGCACTGAATTCCTATCTTGTTCTCAGTAAAAAAAATAATGTTTAAAGACGGGTACAGATGCTCACTTTACTCTGTTTTCAGGGAGCTCTACTGGTTTCATTTACCCTTACCTTTCCCGGGAACCTACAGAACAGTTGTTCTCTGATACCCGTTTGTCCTCTGCCCTGTGCACCTGGGTACCAGATGGGGCGGCTTTAATTCTAGACCACCTAACTGCTTTCATCAGAGAAAGGACCTGGAAGGGAGAGAAAGATATGGCCTCACCTTTGTTGCCCTTAGTTGTCCTTTTTTGATGAGTTTCTGTATTCTTCTCAATGCTTTCAGCCTCTTATTATATACTCTAATGGCATCAAATCCAACCTTTGGAAATAAATGTCAGTCACTTAACATGTCTGGTTCTTCTTAAGGTCCCATGGTGTCTGTTATCAGAGGGGCTGTTTCTCCTTCATTGTGTGTGTGTGTGTGTGTGTGTGTGTGTGTGTGTGTGTGTGTGTGTGTGTGTGTACACATGAGTGCCAGTGTCCAAGGAGTCCTGAGGAGGGTGAACCATGCGGCTGAAGTGACATCTGGTTGTGAGCTCCCCTACCGAAGTCTATTCAAAGGTCAGCAAGTGCTCCTAACTGCTGAGCCATCTCTCCAGACCCCAGAATGCCTACTTCTTAAAAGATACTATTTTGAAAGAACCCCTGTCAGAAAGAAACAATTGTGAGGTCTAACGGAGTAGACTCCTTTTCACTGCCTGGCGTCCCGCCCACTAGAGAAGAGGAGGAAGCCTAGCAGATTAAAGACTCTAAGCCAGTGTAGAGGACACAATCGGGGGCAGGGGACTGTTTAGCTTTAAGTCTGTATTTTCTTGATGTTACAAAGCCACTTTGTTATGGGGCGGGGTGTGTTAGCTTCCCTTTGAGCTAATTTACTCTGGAAACAGGAAAATAGCTCTCAGAAGCAAATTGAAAGTTCCAAGCAGGTGTGTCACTGGAGATAAGAACCATTACCCCTTTACCACACTGGCGTTCCTTACTCTACTCCTGCAGGGCAAATCCTGCCCGCCCCTCTGCTCTCTCCTTCTCTCAGTTCCTGCACTCCACCCTGCGCACCCCTTCCTCACACCATTTGTTGGTAAGTTTTATGTCAACTTGACACAAGCTAGAGTCACTTGGGATGGGGGACTCTCAACCGAGAAAATGCCTCCCTATGACTGGCCTGTAGACAAATCTATCAGGGATTTCCCTGGGCAGCGCCACCTCAGGCCAGGAGTCCTGAGTTGCGTAAGAAAGCAAGCTGAGAAAGCCATGAGGAGCAAGCCAGAAAGCAGCAGTCCTCCGTGGCCTCTGCATTAGCTCCTGCCTGACTTCCCTCACTGAGGAAAGTAACGTGACAGTTCTAAGGCGACATAAACCCTTTCCTCCCCAAGCTGCTTTGGCCATGGTGTTTTATCCCAGCAATAGACACCTAAAAGACATCCAATGTCTGCAAGTAAAACTTCGTTTAGTAATTTCTTTTTAAAAATATTGTGTGCATGTGTGCATGGATGTACATGTGTGCAGGTACCCACGGAGCAGAAGGGATGCCAGGATCCCTTGGAGCTGTGTCTACTTGTATTTATGAACATTTGATGTGGGTGCAGGATGCAAACTCCTTTCCTCTGTAGGTCAGGAAATACTCTTAACAGTTAAGACTATTTCTTAAAGTAATAAACCTAATACATGCCAGCAAAAATACATATTTTATGAATGAAACTATTTTTCAAAAACAATTCTTCAAGTCATGGTATTGTTTTGAATAGCTGTATCTATCTATGAAAGGCAGCTGGATTCCCTTACCTGCCTTTGCTGGAGCAACCTGTTCACACAGCCTCTGGAACTCAGCAAACCCCAGCCTTCTGCATCTATGCTTCCTACCTGTGTGCCTCAGAGCCAACTCCAAATCCCTGCCATTCTCCCCCTCCCCCTCTCCTCTTCTCTCCCAGTTTTTTAGGTTATATGTATGGAGCATAGATGTTATGATGTAGTTGTTTATTCATTATGTATTTTGCTTTTGTGAGACTAGACCTAAGTCTGTAGCCCTGTCTAACCTATAACTCATTATGTAAACCACATTGGCCTCAAATTTACAGTAATTCTCCTGCCTCAGCTCTTAAATGCTAGGGTTACAAGTATGTATTGCCACACGGTGTCACAATATGATTTTTAATATCCACCCAGAGAACCAAGCCTAAGGCCTTATTCCTTGTTGGTCCCAATAAATGAGTGAAATCTGAAAATAAGTTAAAAAAACTTTAGGAATAAAATACTTACTGTGGACATGACACATTTCTTAAAACCATCAACATTGCCATAAAAAATGGGACTAGAAAATCTCAGAATCTTCACTCCTTCAGGCTCTTCAAGCTGGCATTTTAGAAAAGGAGGGGGTGAGAGAGAGAGAGAGAGAGAGAGAGAGAAGAGAGAGAGAGAGAGGAGAGAGAGAGAGGGAGAGAGAGAGAGAGAGAGAGAGAGAGAGAGAGAGAGAGAGAGAGAGAGAGAGAGAGAGAGAGAGAGAGAGAGAGGTTAAACAAGTCACCTGGAGTTCTGCCTGCCGGCGTGGCCCAGTTTCTCACACTGCTGGCTCCTCTGAGATGGGGAGTTAATGGGGTAAGAAGATGCTTGGAGCCAGAAGCTTGGAATCAGAGTCAGAACCAGAATCTCACAGGCAGCTGCTCCCCATAGGAAGAAAGCGGCTCTAGAGGCCATGTGGCTGGTCTCCAGCCTCCACTACTGACAGTTTCAATTTCGCTAAACTTTGGCAGAGGGTGGGGTGGGGGTGACAACAGGGATCTGGTGTGGGGGGGTCAGAAACTTAGTTTGTAAGCTAACAGAGTGGCCGATCCAGGAGTGAACCCCACAGTCTTAAGCAGTCACAGCTGTCTCAGTCTATCCCTGCCATATGAGAACACCTTGGCCCTGGAGACTCAGGGGGCAAAGTCTTGCCAAGACAGAGCTTAGAATCTGGAGCTCCCAAACTCACACTAGGTTTCCCTGCTAAGCCACAAAGCTGAGCAGTGGCACGGAGTGGTGCAGTTGGGCATCTCTTTTAGAGTCTGGTTTACAGGAGGCGGTGGGATTCTTACGTGAGCGTCGGAAGGCACCCTGCTGCTGTTTACATGGCTTCCTCGTCTCCAGCACCTGAATTCGCTCTTGATGACACTTGGGTTACAGAAATGCACTAGCTAACAGCTACAAGTGATGTTTTTAATACTAAGGCAAAAATCAGACCATGACTTCCCAGGGTTCACCTCTAAAATGCATACATGCTTATATTACATCATATATATGTATATATATATATATATATATATATATATATATATATATATATATATAGTTGTAGCCCTGGCTGCCCCAGAACTCTGTAGCTCTGTAGACCAGGCTGTCCGCGAAATCTCTGCCTCCTGGTGCTGGGATTAAAGGCGTGCACCACCGCACCGCCTGGCTTCTCTACTTTTTGAAGGTAAGCGTGCGTGTGTGTGTGTGTGTGTGTTCTGAGCTTCCTCCTCGTTTCCCCTGTGGCCGCTACAGTTCTGCTTGTGAGCAGCACCTAACTCTCATCGTGATGCACAGTTTCTCTGCTTTTCATTTCTTGGTTCATATATTCTTTCTTCCAATTCCAGTGATTTAAAAAAGCATCAGATAAAACCTTGGTGATTGAGAGCTGGAAAGACCTCTTCTTGAGTAAAGAAATCTTACAGAGACTTCAGGCCATCTCCTGCAGGTTATGGGTTACAGACAGGAATGTGACTTTCATTAAATGCCTGGAAGTAATCTGACTGCGTGTTATATTTAATCCCTCATGATCGCCCCTCATTTTATACCAAAATAGCATTCAACTAGTACAGTCAGAATTCCTGTATTCAACATATAATGAAGGGCACATTGAATCCAAAGACACTCCCAGTTTGCTGATGAACTTTCACAACAGACATCTTCTTGGCTTGCACCTAGCAAGCTAAAAGAGAAATCTGTTGGCTCCTTGAATACCAGGCTAGCAAGCCCTCCTGTGACAAGCGTCTCACAAAGGCACTTACGTTTTTGTAATGTGAGATACTTCTATAGATGTCTGTACTGGGGACACTTCCAAGGCTGTTCCATGATGGGCTGTAAGAAGGGGAATGGACATCAGGATTTTTTTTTTTAACAACAGTCACTTTTTTGACTAAAAAGTTAAAAAGAAATAGCAGCGATGAAAGAGAACATCATTCTGGTGTTTCAAACTCTGCCTTCACCGCAGATGACATTTTCCTGTATCTAACTCTGAAACGAACAGCTGGTGTTTGCGGGGAGCTGAAGAAAGAGGAAGTAACTGTGAGCCTCTGCTGATGGCTGGGAGATAATGAGCACTTGCTCGTGCATAACGATTATGGGGAAGGGCCAAGCTTTCTCACGTGGGAAATCGTCTGGAAGCCCGACCACAACTCTGAACGGCCAGCGCTATTATCCATAGTTTTATTAGTTCATAAAAAGATGCTCAGAGAGGAGTTAGAGAAGCCCCTGAGTACAGGACACACAGCTTCATCTTTAACACATGGGTCTGTGGCTCCTCCCACTTCTCTGTGATGGAGTATGGTGTCTGCAAGTGATCGGATTAGTCCTTGATTTAGAAATGGCAGTCTGGGTGAAATGAGTCCTGCCTGCTGACCAGACCGCTGATTTCCTGCCATCAGATAAATCCATGTTTCTCAGCTATGACTGCCGACACATGCTGAATGCAGCCCCTGGAGAAGGACTGTCTGTTTGAGGTCCTTTCAGCCTCGTGCTCTCTGGATCAACATTGCAATTCCTGGAAACTAAATACTGTGAAGGGCACTGCTTTTTGTTGGGTAGGATCCTGGTTACCACACCAGCAACTAAAGCGTACCACTAAGTTTTCCCTTGGCTCACAACAACTGAGCTCATTTTTAAGTTAAAGTTCCTAAGTTAGTCTTTCTCTTAAAAACAAAATAAACAGACACTGATCACACTCAGCACCAGAGGCGATGTTGTCTGCAGACAGCTTCTTCACTGTTCCCTAATAGCAAACTGGGCCCTCTGGAAGGTAATGAACCCTTTCATAACCCTGGGCTCCTAGCATGCTGAGGGAGGCAGCCACAGGCCTTTCAAGTAGATACCACCATGCCAGGGGAGGGGGGGGGGGAGGGAAGAGAGCTGGTGGGTGGGATAGGAGAGGTAGCCCATGCTAAAAAGCCAGATGTCTGGAAAGGCAAGGAAAAACTAAAGGGGGGGGGGGGTCTGTGCTCCCCCACGTCCAGATGGACACATAACAAACCATCTCTGCCGCAGATAATCTGCCTCCAGCTTGCCTCACCTGCCCTCATAGGCTGCCCCACCATATGACTCATCCCTGCAGTGCCCACTGAGCATATGAACTAATCTTATTTACTTCATAAATTGGGTGTGTGCCTCATTTGTCAGACTTGAATGAATCCTGGCTGTGATAACAATTTTAAAGCTCCCAGTTGCATAATGAGTTAGTTACTAGCTTCAAAAAAAGTAAAACAGGTGAGAGCACATTGAGGAGTTGATTTGTTCCGGATGCCCCGTTCTCTTCCGGATGCCCTGTTCTCTTCCGGATGCCCTGTTCTCTTCCGGATGCCCCGTTCTGTGCTGGTGCTCTGTTCTGTGCCTGGTGCCCAATGCCTCTAATACTCACCCAATTTAAAAATGATTTCAACAAAGCAAATTTAGTCTTTGGGTGATCTGTGAGTCTTCATTTTAGCACAGCCAAAGGAGAGCAGAGTGGAACATGTGAATAAGGGCATAGATTTGGGGGTGAGCTGCATTGGGGTTTAAGTCTGTCAGTTGGTAATTGTAAGCATGAAGAAAGATCTTTAAATTTTCTGAGCTTAAACTTTCTCACCTGAGCTGGGTGTGCATTGGTGGCGCACACCTTTAATTCCAGCACTCCGGAGACAGAGGCACGCAGATCTCTGTGGGTTGGAGACCAGCCTGGTTTACAAGAGCTAGTTCCAGGACAGCCTCCAAAGCCACAAAGAAACCCTGTCTCAAAAAACAACAACAACAAAAAGAAAACAACAACAAAAAAACCTTCCTCGCCTGTAGAGCAAGTCTGATCAGAGCTATCCAACATTGTAAAGTGCTGTGTGTACAAATCATACGTTCATTCAATAAAAATTTTTATAAAAAGAAATCGTATATGTATGTTTATGAAAACAACCTAGGAAAATTCAGGCTGTGCTGTCTATGAGATACCTGTTTCAGGTGGGTTGGGTTGGGTTTTTTTTGTACTTACAACTGAACTCTCAGAACCACAGTCAGTAGTCCAAATAAAAGGCCTGCTAGCAAACCCAGGTCCAGCCCCAGAATGATGGACATTATGCATGTAAACACCCAGATAACCTAGAGGGAGTGGAAATAAAAAGAATTAGTTCATCTTACAACAGTCAAGCGATTAGAAGCAAATCATCCTAAAGATCCTGAACTGTCACAGAGAAGATATTAACCTTTGGCTTCTCTACACGACTCTAATAGTGCTCTGCAGTCCCGAAAGTTCAGACTAGCTTTAGGAAATGGGACACAGCGATGTGATAGGAGCAGTCAGAACTGAGCCCTAGTTAAAGAAAGACGCGTGGTGTCACTTACAGCATCAGTCTTATTCTGCTTCCACAGGCGAGGAACGTCACACACCTGCATGAACATCCCTTTCAGGTTGGCAATGACAACAGCTGCCAATACTGACTGTACAGAGACAGCAAAGGCTGTGTTATTCAAGGAACGGCTTCCGTGCATCCGCTTCTGCTCCCCTCCCCCTTCCCTGATAACAGTCTAGTGAAGAGAAATTGGCGCACAGAAAAGCAGGGTTTTACCTTCTGCAAGGGTTCCAGAAGCTTCCCCAGGGCAACAATGGCAATCATTACAATCCCAGCTGAGATGATGCCAGCAACCTGAAAGACACTTTCTATGAGGCAGGCTCACCACAGGTGAGCACAGGAACCTGCTCACAGACACGCTTAGTATTCCCTCATCTCCCTCTCTCTGCTCAGCATTTAGAAAAATAAGCATTATTTGATAAGCCGATGCAAAACAAAACAGCAACAGAGCAGCGTATACCCACTATTGCTGAGAAATGAGAGAAAATGTAAGAAACTAACCGTGATAAAGTAAGGCTAGTTTGTCCTGAGTGTCACTTGAGGGCTGATGTCTATGAGTGTGACCCAGGAGGTCACCGTCTGGTTGTTTGCCCTGCCTTGAGACACAGACCCTCACATTCTTGGGAACAAATCCTTATGCTGCTTTTTAGATTCTTCTACAGTGTGGAAGCATCAGCCATAACGGTGACTCATGTTGTACCTGTAGCTCATAATTGCCACGAACAACCCAGAGAATATAAGTTAAGCCATCCTATTATAAATTCACAGTGTCACAATGGCACCCCACAGCTCCTGTCTCCTCCAACAGTTGTAGGCACAGGTTCCAAACATCGGCTGCAACAGTCACGGAATCACAGGGTAAAGAAGCGCAGAAAGAAACTTTACCTTCGCTGACAAAAAGAAAAGAAAAGCTCTGCTAAGATCCATAAATAGGAGAGAGGCTGAGGGGGTGGGACCTACTCCTGGTTTGATCAGTTGGCTTGGCCAATGAATTCTCTGCTGAGACATCATGGGGCATAGCTGAGCAGAAGACTAGAGACCCTGAAACAAATGAGAAAAGACAGAGAGCCAGAAGCAGACGAGTTAGAGAGAGGAAGGGACGAGAGGAACTGAGCACGATCACCGCCCGTGCGTGGTGTCCCAGCTAAAGGAAGCAGGCATCGGCACACCGGCCATTTATGTTCACATAGGGGCCAGCCTGGGCAATATCACAATAGAGCATTAGAAATCTCACTTCACAAGCCCAGCTTCCTTTTTCTATGATCTTCTGACTCCGCAGTCCAGGTTCCCAGCACCATGAACAGTTCCCTCTTCTGTCTAAGAAGCTAGTATCCTTCTCCGTCCCTCCCCCTCCCTCCTCCCTCCTCCCTCTATGTCCTCCTTCTCTGTCTGTTACTTGATCAATATTTATTGAGTCACCTGCATCTAGGCTCTAGGGATTGGTGAGAGCTGTATCTGGAGACAGGGATGACAGTCTGCATGGCTCTGGGCAGGAGACTGGCCGTCATACACCAAGGATATGTGATAGTGAGTCTCTAATTATAGAGCCAAGGCTAATTTTTATCACAATGTTAAAACCTATAAGGGACTGATTACTTGAATTTACTGTGCAAGGCTGGTTTGTGGAAAAATGTAGATTTTACATGTTTGAGACTTAATTATTGTTAAGTGAGAAGGTAATTAGAACTATGGAGTAATTTGTATTAATTACTTTTCTATGAGTCAGCATAAGTCAGAGTAGGGGTGAGAGAGGGCAAGAAGGAAGGTTTAGCTCTGCAGTCCACAGAGACATAGAACACAGTTAAAACCCACCAACACTCCTTCTTCTATTTACTCTTTAACAACTGTCTGTTTGGTACTGCTCAGGTGCCAGACCCAGCACGAGTCACAGATGCTAAAAGGCCACTCCTCCCTCAAGGTGGAGGACACTCAGCATTTAGTGGTTAGTGTGTACTGGGATTTTCCATTGTCTCATTGAGTCCTCACAGCATCCCTTTGGGGTGGGTATGGTTAGTCCCATTCAGCTGGAATTGAGGCTCTGGAATAGGCCATGAGAAACCACACAAGCAGACTTGATTGTTTGTTTGGTCTCAGGTCCCTGGATTTCAGTCCAAGGCTTAGACTTTTAACCTCAGAACTTAATATGCTTCCCAGTAATTAAATGTCAAGCCGTCTCTGCTGGTTTCCTTCTTCAGTGCTGAGCTCCTGGCAACCTTCCCTCCTAAATAGAATGCAGGCCAGTGTATGGCAGAGGATATTAACTTACCAGAGCACCATTATCCCTGAGCCCTTTGCCAAGGTCTCAGGGTCACTTTACACATTATTACTGGGGCAGGCAGCCCATGCCTTGTCTGAGCCTAGAGATAACAGCAGGAGAATGGCCATGAGCAGCTCGGATCCAGCTGCACCCACTTGGGACCCTGTGTCCTGGGGAGCTTGTCAGTGCTCAGGGAGCAGGGGCTCTAGCTGCTGCCAGCATTAGCTAGGACAGGCGCAGCTGTGGGATTAGCGCTGACACACTTCTCCCGGCCACAGACCCCCGCTTTTGCTTCTTAGAGCAAACTGGGTTCCTTTAACTGTCTCCTCCAAGCTAGAAATAACTGCAAAAAGCTTTTTAAAAAACAAAAGCAAAAAAGCCCTCTCAGAATTAAAATTAAAATTTGCTTCAATGTAGCCAAAAAATTGGGAGAGACCATTTTAGCAGGAGAGGAGCATCACACATACGTGGTGACGTCACCTGTACTAGTTTGGTAATGCCATACGTAATGTGGGGACATCAGATGTGCTGTGAGGGCATTCATGGTTTTCCCTGGGCATGCCATTGTTTTCTTGGCATTTGCTTTCATCCTATGTCTCTGCGCAACAAAACCCTTGAAGACTGTGTGCTTCACATACTCTCCTTTGCAGTCTTGGAGGTTTTCTTTCTTTCTTCTTCTTTTTTTCCTAAATAATGTTCTTTCCTATGTCAGGAAGCCAAAGCCTTCTGAGCTGTGACGGGAGGGCCGTCTTGGTCTCAGGGCTGGCTCTCCTGTGCGTGTACCTGAGTGCGGTTTCAAGCAGACTCTGAGACTGTTTTCTGGGCAGCCTCAAGAGGAGTTATCCAGGTTTATGGCTACCTTGTGAGAGCAACAACCAAAAGCCATATTTAAAAGGCAAAATTAAAGTTGTATTCAGAACTTCAAGATGCCAAAATGATACAACAAAAATTTCTTGTCTACCAAATTGTTGTTCGTGAGACTAAAATCCTCTAGAGGACATTTCTGGCTTCTGAAAAGGAAATATGAATAGAATAGAAATTGCACTAACTCAGGGCTGGGGAGAGCTCAGTGGCTAAGAGCACTGGCTGCTCTTCCAGAGGACCTGGGTTCCACTCCAAGCACCCACATGGAGGCTCACAGCCACCTGTAACTCCAGGCCCGAGGCAGCCAGCGCCCTCTTCTGGCCTCTCAGGCCACTGCACATATGTGGTGATCATATACATGCAGGTAAAATACCTACACACACAAATTTAAAAGAAAATATAACTTGCAAAGCGCTTCCTTTTCCCATTGTGGTACCAGAGATGGGACTCAGGGCCTCAGACACACAGAGCAAGCATTCTGCCACTAAACTATCCTCAGCCTTTCTCTCCCCTTCTCTTTTAAGACAAGGTTTCTCAGCATTGTCCCAGCTGGCCTCAAATTCATTCTGTAACCCAAACAGAGATTTCCTGTGCTTGGGATCACTCCTGCCTCAGCCTCCCAAGTAGCTGGGATTACTGGCCTGGGCCACCAGGCTGACGTGGGGAAAACTGATGAACAGCATCAGTGTGGCTGTCCCTGGCTGGCCCGGTGAGCACAGAACACAGAACACTGGCAAGAACAGTTTCAGGAGACCATAGGTGTTGCTTTTAAAGAAGTTTTTGATGAGGATTAGGCAAGTCAAAGAGATGGGACCCAGGTTGGATCAGATGAGGAGACAAATCCCTCTCTCGAAGGCTGATTGTCCCGTCCACCTCCGAGGGGAGTGTCTCTGCGCCACCGTCCCCTTCCCGTTCCCTGTGTCATACTGTCCCACTGTCACTGCATACCTGTGTCTTTCCCCCGGTGCTCTCCTGGACAGCTGTTCGAGACAGAGCAGTGGTAGCCACAAAACAGGAGAAGAATCCAGAGAACACGTTGCTTATCCCAAAGGCAACAAATTCCTACGGGAGAGACTGGGTTACAGTGATGTTGCAAAGAGAATGCCTGCCGGACCCTCATCAAGTGTCCATCGGGATGGCTTAGTGGCTACGGGTACTTGCAGACCTGATGACATGAGTTCAAGTTCTAGAAACATGCAGAGGTGAAAGAGAGAGATCTGACCCCACAAAGTTGTCCTCTAAACTCCACACATGTTCTGTGGCACGTGCACGCGCACACACACACACACACACATGCCACGTGTTCTTACACAACAATCATTTAAAAGGGAAATAAATCAGCAAGAGTTACTCGGCCAAATGAAAAGCTCTTTGTCTAACCTAATAGTTAACTTTTTTGATCTGACTGAATTAACATTTTCAATTAGTGTTTGTGCCACTGATTTTATGTCAACTTGACACAAGCTAGAGTCATTTTGAAAGGAGGAACCTCATTTGGGAAAATACCCCCACCACACTGTCCCATGGCAAACATGTAGGACATTTAATTTTCTTCCTTCCTTCCTCCCTTCTTTCCTTCCTTTCTCTCTCCCTCCCTCTCTCTCTCTCTTTCTTTTTCTTTTTGTTTTTCTAGACAAGGTTTCTCTGTGTAGCCCTGGAAGTCCTGGAACATCCTAGAAGAAGTCTGGCCTCGAACTCAGAGATCTGCCTCCTTTACTTCCCAAGAGCTTTGATTAAAGGAATGCACCACTACTGCCCAGCTTGTAGGGCGTTTTCTTGATTAGTGATTGACTGGAGGGCTCAGCTTACTGTAGCAGTGACATCCCTGAGCTGGTGTCCTGAGTGCAATAAAAAAGCAGGCTGAGCAAGCCTCGAGGAGCAAGCCAGTAAGTGACACTCCTCCATGGCCTCTGCATCAGTTTCTTCTCCAGCTTCCTGCCTTGACTTCCTGAACTGACTTCCCTGGATGATAGACTGCAAACTGTAAACTGAAATAAAACTCCTCAGGTTGCTTTTGGTCATGATGTTTAATCAAAGCAAGAGAAACCCTGACCACGACAGTGTTACTTTAGCTTATTTCTTAAGAAGCAGTGACGGCACACGCCTTTAATCCCAGCACTCGGGAGGCAGGGGCAGGAGGATCTCTGTGAGTCTGAGGCCAGCCTGGTCTACAGAGCGAGTGCCAGGATAGGCTCCAAAGCTACATAGAGAAACAGCATCTCAAAAAACAAAACAAACAAACAAACAAAAAAGAAGTAACGTGACTTAGCTTGCATATTTAAAAAAATTAATTAGCAAGTACAGGAGAGAAAAATCAACTCAATAAAGGCCAGTGAAAGAAACCATCAGTTTCCTTAGGTGACACCAGTATCTCCCCAGTTGTGTTTTCTTTACTTGTTTCTAGCTTAACAAATAGGTGACCATACCTGGTTCCCGTCGATTAGATAATCATGCTTGGTGGCGTAGACTTTTCCTACAGACACTGCAATGGCATAAGCCACCACCGCGATGGAAAAGGATGCAGCCAGCATGTCATAAAACAGACCCACAGATGGAAGTGCAGGGGGCAAGAACCTGGTGAGTGAAAAAATGCGTGAAGCCTGGACAGCTTTTCCCTCAGCCTTACCAAATGCTGCATCCACTCCTCACACGCTACACACGAAAGGACCTGGCCTGAGGAAACAAAAGCATGTGAGATGCGTAACTTCCCCCTGCTCTTCTAGTTCTTAACCAGAAGCCAGCGCTGGCTGCTGGCTGCGGGCTGCGGCTCGTCGATGTTGTCGTTTGCTTTCATACCTCTGACATGGATAAATCTGTCACTGTGGATTCTTTCATACAACTCCATCCATCTCACATGTAACATTTTTCCTCACACAATTTCACCTTCAGGGTCTTTGGCAATACGAGAGATTCTAGGTATGTTATAAAATTCAGTCTGTGTGAAAATATGTCAATTCTGTTGACGAGACCAAGGATGTATGGTACGAGAAGAACTCGGCAGAAAACTCTAAAGATCCATGACATTTAAAAATCTTAATTTAAACTAGGCACTGTGCAATCCGCAAGGCTCCCAGACCACAGGAAGTCCATACTGTGCAATCCTGAAAGCCCCCGGTCCACAGAAAGTCCATACTGTGCAATCCCCAAAGCCCCTGGTCCACAGGAAGTCCATACTGTGCAATTCCCAAAGCCCCTGGCCCACAGAATATCCATACTGTGCAATCCCCAAAGCCCCCGGCCTACAGGAAGTCCATACTGTGCAATCCCAAGGCCCCCTGGCCCACAGGAAGTCCATACTGTGCAATCCCCAAGGCCCTCAGCCTTTAAAACAAATCCTTCCACCCGTGCATCTACAATTAAATGAATAGAAAGCGGGAATAGGAGTTTTAGAGACAAACTGTAGAGAAGTTTTGAGCTAGTGAGCTTCCCAGGGTGCTATTGAACCTGTCTCTCTCGTTTTGATGTGAGAACTGCAACCCAGAAGACTGAAATGAGTGGCTTGAAGTTTTAGTGGGCTGTGTTAAGGACTGGACAATTGTGTAGATCTGCCAGGGCTCTGCTGTTGTAGGACTATCTCTCAGCACAGTTAATTTTCACACTTCTCCCCCATCCCTTCTCCTGTCCTATGTGAAGGGACCAGAACGGACCCCAGTTGTAGACAGTTAGAAACGGCCCACACTTGAGTGACTCAGCATCACGTCACCTGCTAGTCTAGATCTGACCTTAAATCTCACTTAACAGGACGTTTCCAAGACCCCGGTCAAGTCTCCTTCAAGTAACCAGGGCTCTATCAAAGCTAAACCCTGAAAAGATTTTAGTTTTGACAGTAGCGTCACACTCATTGCCTCCGTGACTGTAGTGTTCTCCAAATATTACCCAACCCTTAATTACTAGGGTTAAAAATTGTGAGGTCTGAAGTCAAAGGACTCAGTCACTGAGTGACTTTATGACTTTGGGCATGCTGTTTAAACCTACTAAACTGTTTCATTGGCTGTCATGGGATGGCTGTGCCCTTTCCTCATGAAATTTAATGAGACATTGTTGTGTAACTAGTTAGCTCCTTGCTACTAGTAGTGCTCAGTCTAGGCTGGAAGAACCTAAACCAACCACATTCCCGTTACTACTTCAGCTTTCTTGATAGACTTCAATGGTGTCAACCATTTGTCCAAAGAAAAACAGTGGAGGCTCTATCTGCACATTTTTTAATGACCCAATTAAGAATATATTCTATTACCTGGTGTAACACTTCCTAATCTATGATCTTGCCATGCTCCTGTTAGCCCTAGCCAACCCAGTCTGATCCAGCCACGAAGGGAAGGGAGCATATGAACTCATACTTATCCTGAAGACATGATATTGGGGAACAGTGTGCCCCAAAGGGCCCAATAACACATAAAGGGGGGTCACGCGTGGTAAACATGCTAATTAGATGTTCAGTTGGATATGAATGTTTGCCAACATTCAGCAATCCAGCTAAACAAGGGTGGCAGTCCGCAGGAACCCGCGTCTCTGTACTATCACACTGACTTTCGTGGGCCACCCTTCCAAGATCACTGCAAAGGACACCAAGTGAAAAGAGTGGCACTAAATATTATGACAAAGGGCACTTCTGGTGCTGACTGGTGAGAGAGGAACCAGTCACTGAGAGCAGAGACACAAGCTAGTAAAGGGAGTGAAATTCAGAGCATGCACACGCACACACGTGCACACACACATGCATGCACACACGCCGTGGAGACAGGTGGGGTAGAGGAGAAGCTCGCACTGGAATGATGAGAGACCAGACACACGGGAGACCTGCAGCAACAGGGTCAGCTGTGTCAGGACAGAGGCAGGTTCAAGGTTGAGTGACTACTAAGACACAGACCAGACAAAGGTAGGTTGTGTTTTTCTAACCAACAAGGCGTAGAGAGGACAGAGCCACCCGACTGGCCACCAGTCCTCTCCACTCATACTCATCTAATGCAGGGATCTAATGCAGTGATTTCTGAATGCACCTTATTTGTCAGATTTGTTTAGGTGAGATCTACGTGACGTCATTGTCTCACTGGCCACCAGTCCTCTCCTCTCACACTCATCTGGTGGTGAGGTTTGCTCACTCGACTTCCTTCTCACCTCTGCAATCCCTACGTTCTATTTCATCACTGTGACCACTCTCCTCAGCTCTTGCACTACTGGAGTGGGCTCCTCATCTGGTGGCTTAGCTGCTTTAATTCCCTGTCTACAGTGCTAACAAAAGTGGTCGCTCTCATGCTTCAAACCCTCCAACAGTGCCTCAGAAAATGCTAATACAGACACAAAGGCATCGGCCTTTCATGGTGGTTTCCACGCTGATGCTCAGCTCTCACCTCCCTCTCTCTATGCTCCAGCTGCAATGAACTCCTTGTTGTACCTCCAAAGTGCCACACTCTTTGTTATAAGGTGCACGTTTTATCCAAGCACCCCAATACCTTTCCCATTACCGCCCTGCCTTACTTAGTGTTTCCTATGTTACCTGGATGATTAAAATCATCCTTCAAATATCAACAAGTTGTCCTTCTTCTAATGCACAGCGAGCTAACCTCCACCACAGCACTTATGCCTGGAGGATGACTGTGTCCTCACTAGGTTGGGAACTTCCCACTGAGCATCCAGCACACTGCCTACCAAATGGTAGGTGCTTCCACACAGATAAGCGAGGAGTGTAAGTACCTGAAGTGTTGTTCTGTGTACAAATGATAAATGCCAGGTAAATAATATAACGGGTTACTTTAGTCATCTCATGGGAGTCTTGGTTTCCAAAAGATAAGCACAAATGTCTCTTCAATAAAAAACCAAGACATTCAGGACAACTGGAGAAGCACAAAGCAAACAGATATCTGAAATATTTTGATGGAAATGTACTGAGGCAAGACAGTCTTAAGATTATCTTTGAGTATCAGAGTATAGAAAGTAAGGAAACGCCCTAAAAATCAAAACCAACCAAAGAGCCAGCCATAGGGGAATACGTAAGTGGGGCATGGGAGCCAACGAAAAAGCCTTAAATGGCCCTGAGTAGACAACTTGACCAACACAAAGTAGCATTAAAGTACAACTCAGTATGACAGAACCACTCACGGGCCACACTGACATAGAAAGTGCGAGAAGAGACAAGCATAAGTAGAGGGAACAGCAGCCATTTGGGGCTATGCAATGGGAGGCTGTTCTTGGGACAGAATGTCACCCAACCTTCAGAGACAAAAGAAGCTGCCGGTAGCAATCTGACTGGAGATGCAGAAAGGAGGCTCCTTTTCCTTCTCTGGGGCTGTCCTCAGCCACTAGAACATTCTCATTTCCACTCCGGTTTCTCATCTTTCCATGTCACCCTTTTTGCTACAGATGCATTAATATCATTAGAATTGTTTCTGTGCCACCAAGTTAGACAGCCAGAACTTTTCTTGTGGCTTACTTGCAATGGCTTGGCTTAGGGAGCTTATTCCTTCGAGAGACGTTTTCAGAGAGCCTTCTGTAAGGTAGATGTTGGATTAGGGAGACAGAGCTGAATACCACAAATGGGACCACTACCGTGAAGGGTGCCCCAGACTCAGTTAGCAAGCAGAGGACTAAGCTAAACCAAAGGGCAGCAGGCTGAAGACCCTGCAAAGGGGAGTAGCCAGGGACCGTTTCAGAGCACCAGAAGAGAAGCTGAGTCCCCACAACAAGCCCCAGTGTGGGATTCACAAGGCAGGCCTGTGCTGCAGCCCACCTCTGGCTGTGCATACAAGAAGCTGAGGAAAGAGATCTGCATTTGCACATGTCTGCATGAGCACTGCTGATGACAAAACATCTCAGTCTTTAGGGTGCATGTTCCAAAGCTCAACTTTCATTGCAACTTTCATCATGGCATTTCTTCCAGTCTTACGCCTTACAACCTAAATGTGGAGCTTCTAGTATAGTTGACCAGAAGAATCACGTGAGACACTTTTAAAAAAGAATCATTTCCAGGCTTCCTCCAGACAGCCTGAATCCATATGTTTGAGGTGGGAAGCAGGGATTTATGTTAAAATAGATCAATGGTGTTATAATACTGGTATTTAGATTGGTATTAGAAAACCTGTAAGATATTTACTTAAATGAGATCGTTTGCTGTGGAAGCACTGAAAATTTCTGTTACAAGCACAGAAAAGCTAGGACGACGTGGGGCCACCATGATTGAAAGGAAGAGAAACTACCCCTATTGACTGATCCCGAGTCTACGTACAAACGCCGTAGTCAGTACTGTAGATGTGGCAAATATGTGGGCTTTCTCTTAACTGTAGTGTGAGCCACTTTGTCTGCTCTGTGTTTTTAGGAGAGCTCTCAGTGGCATTTCACAAGCTGGAGTTGAGGCTTGTGCCGTGTAATTACCCTTGTCTTACCAAAGAATTTTCCCAGTGCCACACAAATTGGTAGTGACAGAGATGGATTAAGGACCTTGGCGTTTTGCTCTTCTAATTCACAAAATTATAAATATATGTGAAATTTATATGAAAATAATGCAACTTATTTATAGGTATGAAGGATAGCATGTTTATCTGTAGTTGATTACATGGTAGAGAATTTAACTCAGACATTCTAAAGTTCATAATGCAATCAATGCTAATTGTGAATATGCTCACCTTACACTGTAATTATATATACGTGCTTTAATCAGGAGTCTGGTACTGAGCGCCCATGTCCTGTCACAAGCTAAGAAAGGGGAGCATGTGTGACCTGCTTTTAACAGCTGGCCTGAACTCGATGTCCACATGCACTGTTCATATGACACTCTGTGCACATGGCATTTCTTCAAGATCACACGAAAGTAAGACTATCAACGATGAAGCGAAACCGGCAATAAAAAGCTTCATTTAAACAAAGTACTGCCTTAGTTTATTAGTGCTATCTGAGAGGAACGCCACACTCACCCACTTGGGATGGACTTAACAATGCCAGCATTGTAATTTTTTTCCAAGTTGGCCCCATAGGAAATGGCAGTTGCAATTATTGTCTGAAATAAAAGAAAGGAAAAAAACCAACTCCATTGGCTTTAACAATCCCCTGCTTGTCAAACTAACGAGGGCTGAATTTTCTGACCATATATTCTACTTACCACAATCACTTCTATAGGAATAGGGACTGGGATTTTGTGTTTAAATCGATCATTTAATTCCTTAACAGCCATACAGATGATGATGGTAAGTAACCCAGCAATGAAATCTGCAATATTGGTGTCACCGATATTTTGAAAAATCTCAATTAGTGTCTGTAAAGAGAAAATGGGTGAACATGACATATGCCATACAGGCACATAAGCAGCACATTTGACTCTTACGCAAAAAATCTTAACAATGGGGCTGGCAAGATGGTGTGGTGGGTTAAGGCACTCACTGACAAGGCTAATGGTCTGAGTTCCATCCTCAGATCCCATATGACTGAAGGATGAAACTAATCCCCATAGAATGTCCTCTTACCTCCGTACCTTTGCTGTAGCACACATGGAAACATATACACACTCACGTACAAACATACAAACAAATGCAGTTATCATCTAAATATCATAAAAATGTATTGGCTGATAAAGGACCATTACGCACATAAAATATCAAAAATCTACATATGTTTAAATAAAGAATACAAAGCTATTAAAATTATTTTTTAAATGTATGGACTAATACAAGGCGCATTAAGAACATGCAACTTCTAACATCCACACACATAAAGTTACTAATTGTGATTAACATGGAGAGGTGATTTTTACATTCTTGTGTTTATCTGTATTTTTTAGGATGAAATGGAGAATTTTTCAAGGAAAACTGTGGAATACTTTCACTTACAGAAAAACAAATCGAATTTGTGTCTCTAGGAGGATGTATAGGTGCTCTTCGGAGGTCTCTATGTAGATCATGCTACTGAAACCAAAGTCTAACAACCCAAAAGCTCCAGTTACTTTTCTTTAGTTCCCAGCCGGCATCCTAAGTAATATTCTTCCCCCAACATGAATGATGCAGAAAACAGTAACAAAGCCTCCAAAAAGTGTTCCATGTGGAAACCAAGTGGTACTGATCAATTCTTTGTGGCACATTTAAACCACTGAATGGGTACATTGGCCAAGTATATATTGTTTGGAAATTAGTTCAACACTAGCAGCTAGTTTCTCCAAGTGGGCAGAGAAGCCAGCTCAAGGAAACTCATTTTGTTTTGTAAACATGAGGTCTCTGGGACACCAGAGTCATCTTCCAGGGAGCCTACCAAGTAGAACAGTGGCATCTTTGTTCGTTTGGTCTCTTAGGTAACTCATGTCTCAAGGAGGCGGCTCTCAATTCTGTGAGACAAGTCATGCCAGTGGCTACTTTCTTTTGACCAAGTCTGCTAATAGCTAGGTTTAATTTGCCATAAAGCAATGGTGCGTCTTAGGAGTTAAAACATGTATCTTGGTTTGTTTTTACAGATAAGTGAAATACTGTAAATAATTATGATAATCCTGTGTCTGTCATATGAGGAACATCAATTCATTTTGCCAGCAGCCTCACCTGTCTGGAGTGATTCCTGAAGTAAGGGGTGGAGGGTCTTTTAAAATAAAATTTATCTCAGCCAGTGTTTGGGCTAGGATTTAGTCATTTAACTTGGAGGAAACCTTTCAACTTTCTCTTCTACTTGGCCTTTTTGCTCTCACATTAAACCCAATATGTCATGTTAACTCTGCTTTCCAGAGACACTTAAAATGCTTAGACACAGATACATGGGACATGGTGAAATAGGTGACCACAGAATGAAAGAAAAACCCGGAGAAACACTACTACAGCTAAGTCCCAGGGAGTCTCACACGAGAGAAACACTGCACAGCTAAGTCCCAGGGAGTCTCACACGGGAGAAACACTACTACAGCTAAGTCCCAGGGAGTCTCACACGGGAGAAACACTGCACAGCTAAGTCCCAGGGAGTCTCACATGGGAGAAACACTACTACAGCTAAGTCCCAGGGAGTCTCACACGGGAGAAACACTACTACAGCTAAGTCCCAGGGAGTCTCACACGGGAGAAACACTGCACAGCTAAGTCCCAGGGAGTCTCACACGGGAGAAACACTGCACAGCTAAGTCCCAGGGAGTCTCACACGGGAGAAACACTGCACAGCTAAGTCTCAGGGAGTCTCACACGGGAGGCAGGAACCGTGTCATCTACTCCAGAGGCTTTGCATAATCAATTTTCTTTTTAAAAACCAATATCAGTTATTTGAGAAGTTCATACAATGTGTTTTGGTCACACCCCTCCTCCATCTCCTCCCAGATCCATTCCCACCTCTGCATTCACCCAATTTTGTGTGTTTTCCCCACCCCAATGGTGTTTCACAAATGTTCTTGTTATGGGGCCCAGCCTTATATAATCAAGTTTCTAATAAGAACTCTTATCAATTCACGAATTAGGTATAATACTTTGATTGTTTATACAATGAAGGCTTATTTCTCAACTTGAAACAGGAAAGTCAATTTGGAAATCATTTGTCTGACTGTAATTCTAGCATTCAGGAGACAGAGGCAAGAGAATCTTGAGTTCTAAGCCTGCCTGGACTGACTCTTTAGAATAGAGTACAACAGAGAGTTCAACATCAGCCTGTATCAAATCTCTCTCTCTCTCTCTCTCTCTCTCTCTCTCTCTCTCTCTCTCTCTCTCTCTCTCTCACTCACTCTCTCACTCTTCTCCCCATTTGGAACAACTATCCTGACCACAAAAATATTTCACCTGACAAAACCATCACTATAGATTGGGGAAACAGCTCAGTAAAGTGTCTGACACTCAAGTATAAACACCTCAGCACCCAGATAAAATCCGAGCGCTGCAATGCCTGTCCAGAGCCCAGCACTAGGGGAGCTGATGTAGGTGGATTGACCACAAGTCTAGACAAATCGATGAGTTCAGTGAGAGACTCTGACTCACAAAACAAGGTGGACCCTGACCCAGGAAGATGACTGGCATCAGCCTGGGCCTCTACACATGTGCAAACATGTATTTGTGCACACGCTTGCATAAATGTGTATGCACACATACATTTAAAAATATTTTTAAAATCACTGCATGGTTCTTGTTTAATTTTTGAAAGTTGCCCTAGTTCGGTTTCTGTTGCTGTGATAAAGTGTTCTGAGCAAAAGCTACTCAGGAAGGAAAAAGTTTATTTGGCTTACAGGTCCGCCACTGTAAGCCAAGGCCGGGACTGATGTCCATACCTGAGGACACTGCTTACTGGCATGCTCAGCCTGCTTTCTTGTACAATCAGGACCACACACTGCCCAGGAATGGTGCCACCTACAGTGGGTTGTGCCCCACCCATATTGATCATTAAGCAAGAAAATGCCCCACACATGTGCTCACAGAACAATTTGGTGAAGGCAGTTCCTCAATTGGGGTTCCTTCTTGGGGTGACTCTAGTTTGCGCCAAATTGTGAAAAGCCAACACGGAGATTAGTTAAACCTTTGAATAAAAAGAACCTCGGGAGCTCAGCATCTCTTGTGGAAAGGTTTATAATAGAAAGTTTAATCTGTGTAGGAATGAATCTCAGCTATATAAATGAAAGTGATCTGACTGTTGTCAATAAAAACAAATTCCAAAAATGCACTGAACAGTAATAATAATTTAATTTCCTGTCAGAGTTCTAAATTATAGATCAATGTAATTCTGTAGTTTAGCCTAACAGTCTAAATACAGGTCAAATCAAGATATCAGTTATGGATAATTTTTGTTTATTATGATGTCTGAAGAATTTTAAAACTGCTTCATTTGAATAATAAATGCTCACCAAGTGCAAAGCCATAAGAAAAAAAACATATGCTTAATATGTATCTGAGAAAATGCACTTGGTAACTCTTAGAGCTGACTTTTTTTAGTTCTCTTCTGTATGACAGTAACAACCTTTTATAATCACGTTGGCCACGCAGAGTTTCCTGCAACAGATACTGCTCAGCATTACTTTCTTTATCAATATGGTGTCAATTCTGCACATAGATATGAGTTAAAACTAGCAAATTCTATCATGCTAAGCTCTGCTCTCAGAAGTCACGTCTGCAGAGGATAGTTCTTATACACGATTAGATTAAGTCGTCCACCCTTACAATTAAAGCCTCAACTTCGGGCAGAGCTGTTTTCAGTGCAATCTTACTTTTAGAGGTGGCAGTAGTAGAGGTACCATCAATTAGCAACCAAACAAAGCAGCATCCCTTGTGTTGAGTTGGTTCCAACAGCCATGGCCCCATAGACTCATGTGCTCTAATGCTTAGCCCATAGGGAGTGGCACTATGAGGACGTGTGGCCTTGTTGGAGGAAGTGTGTCACTGTGAGGACGGACTATGAGGTCTCCCTCTCTCTCTTCCTGCTGCCTACTGATACAAATGTAGACCTCTCAGCTCTTCTCCAGATCCCTGTCTGCCTGCACTCTGCTGTGCTGTCCGCCATGACGGTAAAGGACTAAACCTCTGAAACCGTAAGCCAGCCTGAATGAAATGCTTTCCTTTATAAGAGTTTCTGTGGTCATGGTGTTTCTTCACAGCAATAGAAATCCTAAGACTAAGACACTCATGTACAGAAACAACTTGCCATGGCTAGATTTTGTCACCTTGACACCAACTTGGAAATAACTGGGAAGAGGTAATCTTAATTTGGGAATTGCCTCCATCAAATTGGTGTATGGGACGTTTTCTTTATTGATGTGAGCTGCCCATTGTGAGCTGTGGGCCTGTACTGTAAGAGAAAACAAGCTAAATAAGCCACGGAGAACCAGCCAGAAGCAGTGTTCCTCGAGACCTCTTCTTCAGTTCCTGCCGTGGCTTCCCTCAGTGATGTCAAATAAACCCATTCCTCCTCCAAATTGCTTCTTGTCAGGGTTATATTACAGCAACAGAGCCAAACTAGAATACAACCTGTTTTAGCCGGTGTCCTACTGCTTTGAAGAGACACCATGACCACAGCAACTTGTATAAAGCAAAATTTCTAACTGGGGCTGGCTCACAGTTGCAGAGGTTTAGTCCATTATCATCATGGCGGGAAGCAGGGCAGCATGCAGACAGACGCGGTGGCTGAGACGTCTACGTCTGTATTCACAGGCAGCAGGAAGAGAGGGAGCCTGGCCCTGGTTTGACCTTTTGGAACCCCAAAGCTCACCCCCAGTGACACACTTCCTCCAACAAGGCCACACTTCCTAATCCCTCTGAAATAGAGCCACTCCCTTATGACCAAGCATTTAAATACATGAGCCTGGGGGGGGGGTTATTCCTATTCAAACCACCCATACAACCCACAAATGCAGATAAAACATGTAAAAGGACTGTAAGATTTAAACACCTGAGTGACTGCATGTAGCATCCAGAATATTATCAACACCAAATAACTGCCAACATCCTGCCACTCTCCTTTCTGGCCCGTCCTTTGGCATCTGTGAATGAGAGTCTTTCTTTCTCTAGTTCCTTTCATCCATTACTGAAGTTGCTAGTATGTCTTTGGAGAGGCCCATTCTTAAAATAAAGAGGGTATGGATAACATTGTAATGCATTAGCTATTACATCAGGGAAAATATTTTTCAGCAATGTTACAGTATTCCCTGGACAATGCACTGCGCCTGAAGGATTCCTTCACATGTGAGGGCTCAGCAGGGGAAGATGCTAGCCATGCCAGCCTGCCAGGCTGCGTCTGATCCCAGAAGTCATGTGAAAGCCTGACTGTGGTGACACCTATCTGTGACCCCAGAGCTGTTTATACTGAGATGGGAGACACAGACAGGACACTCAGCCAAAGCTCAGGAGCCATTCATCCCGGAGTGGGCAACGCACTGACTGAGTCAGCAAAAAGAAACCCTGCCCCGAGGTGGAAGGTGAGAACTAACTTCTAAAAGTTGTTTTCTGAGCTCCCTGTGCACCCAGTGTCATACATGCATACAGACAGATAATAGATAGATAGATAGATGATAGATAGATAGATAGATAATAGATAGATGGATAGATAGATATTGGTGATGGGGGGAGCAAAAATGACCAAAAATCATGCTGAATCAAAAAACAGCCTGTGTTGGGACCCAGAGGTGAGCCTACTGCTATTACTCTGCTGAGTGCAAAGACCACCAAACTGCCCTCTGAATTCATCTCCATGCCCAAAGAAAGGGGCAGCTTGCAGACCTCACTAGACACACATGCAGACAAAACACACAAACACGTAAACACATAAAAGGAGGAAATGAAATTTGGAAGGGGCGAGACTGTGAGGATGGATCTTGGAGGAGGTGAGGGAGGAATGGAAGGTGAATAGATTTAAACTACATTGTATGAAATTCTCAAAGAATTAAAATAACTACTATATCTAAAAAGGAAGGAAAATGTGTTAACATCTCTGGTGGGCTGGGCCGTGTCAAAGCAGACAGTAAGCTCAGTGAGGTCTGTCCTATGGCAATGAAAAACTCTAATCAATTGAGCTTTTCTGTAGCAGATACTGTGCTCACTGATTTGTATGGCTGGAGGGATGGCTCAGCAGTTAGGAGCACTGGCTACTCCTCCAGAGGAGCCCAGTTCAGTTCCCAGCACCTACATGGAAGCTCAGAGCCATCTGAAACTCCAGTTCCTGGGACTCCAGCACCTTCTTCTAGCCTCAGCATCAAAGACCCACATGGTACACAGACACACATGCAGACAAAACACACATAAACATGCACTTGGTACACAGACACACATGCAGACAAAACACACATAAACATGCACATGGTACACAGACACACATGCAGATAAAACACACATAAACATGCACTTGGTACACAGACACACATGCAGACAAAACACACATAAACATGCACTTGGTACACAGACACACATGCAGACAAAACACACATAAACATGCACTTGGTACACAGACACACATGCAGACAAAACACACATAAAGACAGAGTCTTGCTATTTAATAAGCCTGGGTAGCCTCAAATTTGAAATTCTCCTGCCTTAGCTTCCCATGTTCTGGGCTTACAAGTATGTGTTACATGCCAGATGTAAATTTTCTTATCATTATAACTCTAAGAAGTGACCATCACTATTATCCTGATTTGAAAACTTAGGACCCAGGGAGGGTATTAGGGAATTATTTTTTTAAATTCTCATAAAGTTTATTCATTTTTTTAATGAGTAAGTGCTTTGCCTGCATGTATGCTTTTGCACTCTGTGTGTCTGTAAAGGTCAGAAGACTGTATTAGATCCCTTAAAAGTAGTTACAAATGGTTGGGAAACAAACCATTAGGTGCTGGGAAACCATGTGGGTGCTGGGAAACAAACCCAGATTTTCTGCAAGAACAAGTGCTCATAGACTCTGATCCTTTCTCTAGCCCCGGGCCACACAATGCTCAACACACTCCAGGCCACACAATGCTCAACACACTCCAGGCCACACACACAATGCTCAACATACTCCAGGTCACACACACAATGCTCAACACACACCAGGCCACACAATGCTCAACACACACCAGGCCACACAATGCTCAACACACACCAGGCCACACAATGCTCAACACACTCCAGGCCACACAATGCTCAACACACTCCAGGCCACACACACAGAAAGTAGTCAGACTAAGACTCTGACTCCTGTCTGCTGATATTCAAGTGTTATGACCATTAGCCCCGTCTGCAGCTACTCTTCCTCCGTCTGTTCTAATGCTAGCCTAGTGCCTGGCCTGCAGTGAGCATTTGGTAACATTTGCTGAAGGATGGCGCATACCCCGGGTAATTAGGGACTGTGGCACTGAGACTGCAAGCATTTTTGACGACATTGCTCTTCTATATGGGTGTTTGGCCATATATTGTTTTCAGATGCTAATGTTTTAATCTTATAGCTCAGGCTGGCTTCAAACCACTATGTAGATGAAGATAACTCAGAACTTCTGGTCTTCCTGCCTTCTGCTCCCATGTGTTAGGGTTATAAACATAGATCAAGTGATGGGAATTGAACCTAGGGCCTCGTGTATTTGGCAAGCACTCTACCAACTGAGCTACATCCCCAGTTCCTGTTTTTTTTTTAAATGCACTTTTTCATGGCTTCATTTCCCCAAGCCCCAAGAATGACATCATGTTACTATTATCACCATTTCCCAAGCATCCGTAACATACTTTATATAGAGCATATACTTAGACCTAAGAACTTCAAATCTACTTCTTATGATCTAGATCCTTCTTTTGCATCTCTTTTGCATATTGAATCATCTTTGAATCTAATGTTCCTCTATAACTTTTAATTGCAGAAACATCTATATTATATAAGCATTTTATGGATGCTCATAATTAGAAAGGGCTTGAGAGACACATCTCCAATCGTTTTTTAAAAAAGAAAGAAAAAGAAAGGCTTGCAATAATAGTTCCACAAAAAATAACTTCTCCGGAACTTGCTATATGACATCACCTGATCCAATTACCCAATTACTCTCCTCTAACAATCCAGTGAGGCAGATGCTGTTTGCAACCCAACTGTGCAATTTCTGCAGAAACTGAGGCATGGTGATTTGTTCATAAGACAAGCAAGTAGTAAAACCCAAGTGTGAGTCCAGACCCACCCAGCTCCAAGCCTGATCTGTCTAGGGGTCACTTAGCTTATCAGAGGCAATGCAGGACCAGAATGCAAGCCTATAACGTCTCAACCCTGCTGTCTTTATGTTATGCTGCCTCAGAGCCCATGGTGTTTCTGAGGGCCACAGCATCTGGGAAAGCTTTGGAGCAGTTGGAAAATGATGGTTTCCATCCTGAGTGTCCCCAGGAAACAGTTCTCCAGGTTCAATCTGGAGAGAGGGAATGGAAATGTCTCTGCAGTGACACCACAGAACTTACGTAGATAATGGAGAGGATGCCATTGTAGTTTTTGGTTGGAACGTTGAGCACAATCTTTAGCTGTGAGACCAGCACTTGGAAGGCGGCAGCCGTTGTAAATCCACCAACCAAAGGGTCTGCCAAGTACCTCACGATGAATCCAATCTGCAGACCTCCAAATACCAGCTAAGGCAAGAGGAAGGAGAAGGTTAGGTGTTTGCCTGACGCAATCCTCTGGAAATATTAACAAATCACACTGTGTGTCAGTGAAGACGTTGCATTTCCCTGCATTCCCGTTCTCCCTCAGTTAACCACTTGCCCTCTGTTTGCTTTCTTTTCTGACTTTGGTGACCAGTGGTCCTGGCTTTTGTTTGTTTGTTTATTTTGGATTTTGTCTTTTATGTCTTTACAGTTTTCAAAGTCATTTTAGTATCTGACAAAAGAAATGTTATTTAGAAAATAACATTAGAACTAAAAATAATTTTTTACTTTTGCAGTTAGACGCATCTTCAAGTCTCCATGTTTTAAAATGAATGATTTCAAGCATGAATCACACTCATCTGCGTTTACATGTAAGCCTATTACCTGTATGATTCCAACCAGAAGAGTGAGGGTGCTTGCGATCAGTACTCTTGTGGCATCTCTGGTTCCGGCGTCTAACGTGGTCACGTTTGACGCACTTCCGTTACCACTGGGCACAATGAAGTGTTCATCCGGAGCCATGCTCAGAACAACAGATCCCACCATTAGACTGACCACGGGGAAAGGGCCTGGAGAAAAAAGGCTTTGTCAACTACCCAGTAATCCATCACAGACATTTAGGCTCGACGGGTCTACGTGCAATTAGGAAGGTGTGTGACAGTTGCTTGTAACTAAGAATTACTGCTCAAAGGAGCTGAAAAGTCTCAGGCGCTCCGGACTCAGCGGGGACGAGAATGGGATGTCGGTAGGTGGTAGTAAAGCCATGCTGAGCACACTTGGTAAGTTATAGGGAGGGTGTGAGCCCCTCCTCGTGGGGTCCTCACAGCACAGGGTGTGGGGGTTATCAGGAAAGGTTTCCTGGCAGAGACACGCATAAGCAAACCCTCACTTGTCCAACTTAATATCTATGCCCTATGATCTCATCTTTTAGAGTGTCCAAAACCCTGAACTCTGGACACGAGTACCTCCATCAATATCCCAGTGTCCAAATCGACCAAGGGTTGGGATACAGTTCCTTTTTCCATATGCCAGTTAATAAAACCCTAGTTTTTAAAGTTCTGATTTCTTCTATTTGCTGCTTACATTTTTCTCCACGATGATGATGATCCTATCTTTTGATTATAAAATGTTTCACGGTTGAGAGGCCTTAATACCCAAACCTAGTAACCAGGAAAATCTAAACCTGGCAAATGCCGGAGGCAAATCCACTGGCCCCTTACTGACTGGTCCTCAAAGGAAGTTGATCCAGTCATCAGCTCCTCCTGGCCCGCTTCTGCAGAGGTTAGAGCTTGTGAGAGACACACGGGCACAAGCTCAGGGGGTGAGGACGGCTCACCCAGACGACATACCTCACCAGCACATGGATGTAGCAGCAAAGTCATCTTCATTGCTGATGTCAAGGTCACATAAAATCATATCAAAACATTTATTTGCTGGAATATTCCAGGAAAAAAAAACCCAACAAACTACCTTGAAGGAAAGGAAAGCCCACTGTGAGTCACGCCAAGAAGGAATACAGAGCTTTTTCTAAATCGTCTTGGCAGGACTTTTGCCAGCCTTGCAATATTACCTTACTGAAATAAGAATGTTCTTTAATTAAATAGTATATATTTGGTGACTGTAATTCAGTAACTACAAAGTTTAACCTAGTGATGTAAGTGAGTTTAGATCCTGAAGAGATTTTTTCCCTGTCACATGTTGAAGAAAAGTTTTAAATAGTCAATTTTATTGCATTTTAAAATTTGAGGCTGTGATAAAACTCAAAAACAGGCTTTAATTTTCAGGCTTTCCGCGTCATCTCTTTTAAGCACAGTCACACATGAGCTAACACTGCATTTAACGAGGAAAGAAGGCAAGGCCCTGAATTTTGGCTCCTCTAGGACTCATTGGCAAAGGTCTGGAGGCATCGTGTATATAACATAGCAGAAACACAAACGGACAAATACAGCTGTAAAATGTGCTTGTAATTACCAACTGAGATGTGTCTTGACGTTCCAAAGACAAAATACGTCAGGATAGGGAAAAAGGCAGAGTAGAGACCATATTCTACAGGAACTGCAGCTAGCAGGGCATAAGCCATTCCTAAAAGCACAACGGGGTAAAAGTCACAAACAAAAATCACAGCATGTTTGTACCGCACAAGGCTTTTTCACAGACATACTCAGTTTACAGGTTCGAAACGTCAGCCTGCCCTGAGTGGTTTCTTGTTTTGCATGCAGACGTCAGCTATGCCAGGATGTGGACTATGGCTGGGCTGGGATAATCTACCCACTGCTCCAGGGAACTGACTCCACTGCTCATAATTCAGTCACTGGCTCATGATGCCAGTTGGAAAATAATCAAATCAGTTCCGGTATAAATTGATTAATCCAGGCCCAAAGCCCAGAGCAGCTTATGTGGATAGTTCCGTTTGAACTCGTGGTTCTCTGTGTTCATACGGATGCAGGCATCATTGCACTTGCTTTTCCCTTGCTAGAGAACAGAAATCAGATAAAAAGCAAGACAGCCCTGCCCTGATGAGGGAGGCGGAGCCATCAGTGGGCTGTGCCAGGCAGGCTCTGGGCTATGAACCTCAGGCTATGAAGAAAACAACATTCCGGTGGACATGGGAGTTGGAAAGGATAATGATGTATTCTTTCCCTCTGTTAAATATCCCAACAGTCAGCTTGCCTTCACATAGCGTGCCTCCACAGTTCCCACTTTAAGAGGGAAGATGCAGCCTTTGACTCTAGAGTCATCGATAAAGGGCCGTTTGTAATGCTTTAAACCTTACGACCTAAATAACCAGACACATTCGCACTTAAAGCTATCTACTGAATGAATATCTCCCAATAAGAAAATGGTGAGTTAAATTATACTTTAAAGGTGGTGATTCTATGTTGTAGAAGGTTTTATTGGAGAGGAATATGAAATTCAATGGAATAGAGCTGATGTAATACAAAGAAATATGCTTCCACAACCAAATGTCAAGTAAGACTTTTAAAAAGTTACATTTTAATTTATTTTGTGCATGTGTTGTGGAAGAGGAAGGGGAGTAGGTATGCGTGTCCCAGCATGCATGCGTGTGAAGGGGAGAGCAGAACTTTTGACAGATGGCTCTGTCGACGGTGTGTGTCCTGGCGGCCAAACTCGGGTCCTCACGTTATAGACACATTTATTTTTTGAAAATGTTGTATATGTATATGGATGTGTGGTAATCACGTGTGATGTATGCACACGTGCGTCTTCAGGACACCAGAAGCTAAGGAAGACATCCGGGGCTCTACTCTCCAGCTCTCACTGAACCTGGAGCTAGGCTGGGCTGTCTGCAAGTGGCAGCCCTCTTCCTGTCTCTTCCCCTTCGAGGTGCTGATGTTACAGCACACCCTGCTTTTTACACAGGCTCTGGGGACTTGAACTCAGATCCTCAACCTTGGGCAGCAAGGGTTCTTCACTGCTGAGCTGTCTCCCGGCCCCTGGGTGCCCTCCTTTAAAACTCCCGTTACTGCTAGAAAGTGCAATAACCAGGCGCCCCAGGAACACAAAACAGAAAGAGCAGATTCACCAAGAAGCAACGGAAAAAGGCGCAGAGAGCATGAAGGCACCTTTTTCCTGGGACAGCTTTCAAGTCCTCGAGCTGAGAGTTCCCTGAACAAAGTGCTGTGTCTCCGTTTTCTTCTCTGCCTACATGTCTCAGTATGCCTGGGAAACACGTTGTCTATTTAGGGTAACTTTTATTCACGTACAACATAGTTATCTGTATTGCAAAGGAACTTGGTACAACAGTTTTGAAATAATACGGCTTGTGGAGGACCCTAAACTGTGACTGGCAGTGTTGTCTCTCTGCTGGTGGGGAGGACGGTGGCATGGAGGCTAGATGGAAACCACTCGAAAGGAAAGGCCTTCCACCATGTGCGGACACAACACGGCAGGCCACGGGTTTAGACTCCTTACCTTTAAAAATTGAGAATTCCTATTATGCATTAAGTAAATCAATTGATGCCCAAAATAAAAACTCCCTATTGTATGAGTAAAGATACCAATGAAAGGGCTTGTAGGTCTTTTGTTGCTTAATAGGAATTTACTTTTTAATATTAGGAATCAAAAGACGCCACTACCCTGAGGAAACCCAGACTCCTGTCACTTCCAAGGGCCCAGCTAGCAGGCCAGCCATAGACTGTCACCACTGCAGGGCAGGGTAGCCTCTGAAGGCCTGTTTGAGTCTCCTCTCACCAGCGTAGCCTGGCGCCCTACACAGTCCGGAACCTTCCTGGGACACTGCTTTATCTTCATAAGACTTCCACTCTGACCCGACCACTTTGTCCCCGCCACTGCGGCATCTGTCCCTCACTTCCATCCCGGGTCAGCTCAGCCAACGGGATTCTACAAATGCTCTCAAACATTCATGTGCTCAAGCAAGTACGCAAAATCTAGACGGACGAATGCTAACCAGTGCTCAAAAACGTCCGGATCCCAAGCCCCAACAGGCACCGAGCTCTGCCTGGTGAGCCAGACGCCAGGTGCCAGGGCGCCTTTCCCCAGCCTGGCTGAGCTGCCTGGCGGTCAGCTGCGCTTACGTACATCATGGGGATTGCTGCTGTGGAATATATTTCATATCTCCAAACGCTCTCTAAGTCCTGCCAGGTGCAGCTCAAGGTGGCAAACCTATCCTCGGGGATGGGTTTAGGGTGAAGCAGTGGAGTGCCTTGGGGACATCATTTCCTCAGGCCCCTGATGAGAGTCTGCTTGCTTCACCCAAGCCCTAGCCTTTCCCGGTATTATCTCAGATGTCATCCTCAGTGACACACTCACGGGACCAGAATTCACCAGCTCCTGCCGGTTTGTCCTCAGACCCTTTGCATCTTCAGGGGGTAGTCTTAGCTCTGTCATCACATGGGTGGCTCCCAGTCATCCCGAGGGCTCTGTGTAAATCCCTTGTCTAAATCCCTTTTCTTCAGTTAGTGTCTAAAATAAGTCTTTCTTCCCAGAAGAGTTCCTGTCATGCCATGTCCCCACCTCTGTCATTGGACCTGACCCACAAGGTCAGTGCCTGGTAGCGATGGTTGGATTCCTGATGTACAGAATTAGCCATAAAACTTTATTGTGTGCATGAGTGATGAGCAGGTGTGTGTGTGAGAGAGAGAGCCAAATTAACTTTCCAGAAACTTGCCTAGCAAAGATAAATTTATAGCATTATTTCTGGAAAACAAGCTACCTGTAAAATAAGTCAGACTGTATCCAAGTCCCAGGCACTCCAAGGTCGGGCAAGAATTAATCAATTTCTCATGGTTAAAGGGGCTATAGCAATATAATAGTGCCTCCTCTCTTGAAGAAAATGCATCTGGTACATACTAAGCAAAATCTATGTCTTCCCTGCTGGGTTAGACCTAAGACCCCATGCATGCCAGCCAAGCATGCTACCTCAGAACTCCATCCCCAGTGGTAAGTTGATCTTTATAACACATTTGCCTATGACAACTGAGAATACCTGGGGTCCTAAAAAAAAAGCTCACATTCTTCAAGTATAAAAATGATTTATCCAGCCTCCAAAACAATACAGAGAAACCCTGTCTCATAAAACTAAAAAAAAATGATTTATCGTCAGGAATGAAATTCAGTCCTTTTCATTAAATATTGATTGGGCCACCTACTATGTGCTTATCTCTGCTAGACAGAGTCTTAACAGCCATGAGGTGGAAAAGGCATCCTGTTCCCCAGGAGCCCTGGGTGGAGCCACTTTACAGCATTTGTTTGTTTGTTTATTTATTGGTTTTTCGAGACAGGATTTCTCTGTGTAGATCAGACTAAGTTCAACCTCAGAGACTTGTCTGCCTCTGCCTCCTGAGTGCTGGGATTAAAAGCCTGTGTCTCTGCTGCCTGGCCACAGCCGGGTTTTAATGCACAATATTGCCTAATGTTTATTGAAAGCTTCTAAAATAGTCTATTTTCAAGTTCTTTCTCCACATGCCCACCCCCCGCAACACTTTCCGTTTCTCGGCAAACTCAGATGTCACCTTCAGGAGAAGACATCATAGCGCAATGCATATTTGTAGCTGTGTACGATGGTAACTTTGGGGAGCTCCAGCTTGGGACATGCCTATAATCTGCAGTCACACAACTAGACAGAAAGCAATGTTTCCTGTTAAAATACCTACATGGGAGAGTAGGTGACTCTCTACTAAGAGAAAGAATGAAGGCCTTGAGAGGAGGAGAGCACTTGGTCTGTGGTGCGGGGATGGGGAAGGCACGGATCTTTGTGGGAGGCAGTAACTCGCAATCACTTGAGAACCTCCACCAGCACCTTACCTTGCAGGGTTCCCACTAGTCCAGTGCTAACTCCAGAGATGATGTCACTGAGCAACCATTCCTTGACTCGGTATTTGGGGAGCCAGTCCAGAACGGGCAGGAGAGTCTTCAGAACGCCAAAGGCTCTCTTTCTTGAGCAACTGCCAAGAAGCAGGAAAACAATCTGACCCAGTTTTGACCAAAACCAGTTGCAAATCACAAAGTCGTGAACCAAATTCTGCTGCTTTTTTTTTATAACTAGTCAGAAAACTAATGCGTTCCATGAGGAAAATACTGACACTGAAGTGCTGTAATGTTTTTGCCAAGAACTGTATCTACCTTTTAACTGCCCTGTTCTAGGAAACACGGGATTAAATGTCTCCTCCCCTCGTTCACCTTCTTAATCCACTGAGAAAATATTCCTACACAAGAACTCATTTTCTGACCCAGCCAGAAAATGATCAGTGTGGAGTCTCTCTCTGTGTGAGATTAATTTTTAGGCTCCTAACACTGGTATCACCTTCTTTGAAGAAACATAAACACAGGGCTATTTTGGCAATACAAGCTTAGAGCCAACTTTTTAACAAAACTTGTAGTGTGGTGAATTTATTCTTTGTACCATGTTACATAGCAGTTGTTAATTTAACAACCTATAGATTAAAAAGAAAAATGCCAATAGATAGGGCTTGCACTTTTTAAAGGTATTTTAAAATTAAATTTATTAAATAATTGCAAAGTGTAATAGGTCTTCCAAGTTTGATATTAAGGGATTATTTTAGGTGGATAATAAGACATAACTATGTATTTTAAATCCTTGGAGGAACATACTGAAACAATATGGCGGTCCTCCTTATCTGCCACATGTTTTCATGGGTTCAGCCTATTGTAGATAAAAAATAAGAAAAATGTACTGAGCAAATGGAGGCATTTCCCCCTTATTTCCTAAACTTTATGATGTGACAGGGGTTAGCAGTGCGATTACGTTATTAGGCATTACAGTCTAGGGATAATCAAAACTGCCAAAAGGTATATGAGTTATATGCAGACATTAAGCTAATATATATATACATACATGTATATGTATATATATCTTGGGAATTTGGGGGTTTTGCTACGGGGGTCCTAAAACCAATCTGCTATAGATACCTAGGAAGAACAGTAACACACCAAAGATCCAATACATGGGATTTTTAAAAATCACGCTGTAAAGCCTAGCAGTGGTGGTGCACACCTTTAATTCCAGTACTCAAGAGGCAGAGGTAGGGGATCTCTGAGTTCGAAGCCAGCCTAGAGGAAGCAAGTGAATGGCAATGAGTGAGCTAAACTCAAAATGATCATTATTGAAGTGGGTGATAGTAAAATCTCAGGTGTTAATATACTTTCCATCTACTCTGTATATACTTTAAGTATTAGGTAATCAAAGTGTTTTTTGTTGGTGGTGTTTGTTTGTTTTAGAAAAAAAAATCTGGCCATTAGTTGAGTGCCGAATTTTTTCAGTTTACCGTGTTTTGGTTCTGGAGCTCATTGGGGTTTAGGGACACGGTGGTTATCCCTGGGGGACCCACTGCCTCCTGAAGCACTTGGAACACCTGTCTTCTGGCTTTGATGCCAGGTCTCTGAAAGCGATCCTGACCTTGGTGTGGCCAGAGCCCCTTTCCTACTGCCTAGCCTGGCCTTCACAAGAAGGAAGCGAGCTGTCACTGGACCCCAAGGAGCACTTCAGGTTTCATTTAAGAGGGGAAAAGAGAAGAAGGGCAACTGGGGTGGCATCGAGACCGGACGCCCCCTTCTCCAATAAGGAGTTCCTCCCGACGAAGTTCCAGTAATTCCACCTCCGTCCTGGAACTCCGCGGAGAAGCGCGAGCGCGGCGGGGTGCGGCATACCCGGCCCGCCCCCCGGCCGCAGGGCGAGCGCTCCTTCCCGGGAAGGGCCACCTCGGGCCCCCGCCAGCTGCCCCTGTACCTGCAGCTCCGAGCCAGGCTGTCCCGCAGCGTCCTGCGCTCCTGCAGTCGCCGCTCGCGCTGCTGCTGGAAGGTGAGCTCGTTGTACACCGGCCGCGACACCACGTAGCTGCAGCTGTACTCGGGGAGCTGCCGCGGCTCCGGGCTGCTGCCCGGCGCTGCCATGGCCTGCGAACCCGAGGGACCACCGGCAGGGAGGGGACGCAGCGAGGAAGGACGCTCGGCAGCGCCAGGCAGGGGAAGAGTCCGCCGCGGGCACCCGGGAGCAGCCTCCCGTGACACCTGGGGTAGCCGCGCTGCAGAGCCGGTCGGGTCCTGCAGTCCTTGGCGTTGGCGACAAATCTCCCCTTCGGCCGCCTGAAGGACGGCAGCTGAGGATTTCAGTGTCTCCCGCACCAGAGCCCGGGTATCCCCGCTGTCCCGGGAGGGAACCCGCTTTGGGGAGTTGACCTGGGTGCCCTCCCTTGGCGGTCAGGGCGCTGTCCGCGTCCTGAAATCTCCCCCGACCGGGTTCGTGAGACAAGGAAGGGGTCCTGTACTCCCGCACTCTACGGGAAACGCGGCTCCGTGTACTCTGGGCTGCAGCCGTGCCGTCCCACTCGGGGACAGGTGCAACGACTTTCCCAGTCCGATCCCTAGTTTCTTTTTGTCTCGCCTTTTCTGATGCCTGCCCTGCCTTGTCCTCCGGCGCCTGACCTGTCCCATCCCTAGAGGGTTACAACAGGGAGGGGTGCAGCCTACTGCATCTTCTGCGATGAACTCACCTGTTTGGGTTCCGTGCTCTCTGCCTGCCCGGAATGCCCTGGGGACAGTCTTCCTGCTGCCTTTATAGCGCTCACCAAAAGCAGTGGGACGTTTTATTTATGGAGCAACAGAGACACCTCAGTCGAACAGAAGGATACAGAAGCAGCAATCTTTCCCCACGAATCTCAACCAGGAAAAAAGTCCTACCTCTCCTGCGGTCTTCCCTTTCCCAAACCAGAGGGCTGTGAGTCTTAAAGGTTGGCCCACAGGTGCCACTGGATCTTCACTCATACCACAACTAGGGCTGTGAGGTCAGGGACAGGCCAGAGCTTCCGTGTTGGGAGACCCCGGTTCCCGGGTTGTCAGAATCCACAGTCTGGTCTAGGCTCACCTACCCCAAGTGGAGGAGTCAGTGGGTGTGGGGAGGAGGCTGTAGTCTGCCACTGATTTTAGACACAAATTCTTTCCACTTTTGTGCGTGTGTGTAATTCACAAACTCAGGTGTAGAGGTGGTCCCCTTCTCATCGGCTTCTTCGTCTCTTTAATGTGTTGTCCTCCAGCTAGATAACCAGGAGGCTTTCCGATGGAACAAGCAAGAATCAAGACAAGGAAGAGTGGTTCTGAGCTGCATTGTTTTGTACTCTGTTGGGAAACCAGCTGAAACTACTGCATGGTTAAAGTCAGGGCAGAAGGGCTTGGTACTTCGGGTCATTCGTGCCCGGCTAGGGTTCTGAAGCAAACGGGAAAGACGCTCAAAAGTATGGACCCTCTGGGCACCAAGTTTCAGTCACCCACTTAGGAAATACAGACCTTGACAATTCTATAAATTCCCGGAAACAAAATGCCTCCCAGGAGAACTCTAGTGTAAATCCCCTAGTCAACATGTTGCAAGCGTGTGTGGTTTCCCCTCCTCCCCCCACCAATGAGGGATGAATGAGTCACCAGTTTTCAACAGATTTTCAAAGGATTACTTGACCCAAAGAGGTCAAGAACCAGCCAGGCATGGTGGCACGCACCTATAGTCTCAAGACACTTGGGAGGCAGAGATGGAAGGTCACCTGAGTTCATGATTTTGAGACCAGGTTGTGCAACAGAGAGAAGGTGGGGGGAGGAGAGGGGGGGCAAAACTATCAGAGATGGAAGAGGCCCTGTCCCACCTCCAACCCACTCTGCTGCCTGCACACAGTCAAAACTCGATTATCCAGCCTCCTGCCTCTTGCCACGCCTTTCTGCCATTATGGATTTTAACCTTCTGGAACCATAAGCCAAAAAAACCTGTTTCCTCTCCAAATTGCTTTTGGTCATAGAAACAGAGAAGTCGCTAACACACTGTAAGAATTTGGTTCCGTGATAATGATGCATATTCGTGAAGATGTATTGATGAGATGTAGTGTTTTTATACTGTTGTAGAAAATTAGTAACACAAAGAAAGAATTTGGGAAGGATGAGATGGCTCAGTGAACAGAGGAGCTTGCCACCAAGACTGCCTACCAACCTGAGGTCAATTCTCAGAAGCTTTTCTTTGACTTCCGCAGCGTTCTATGCTACTTGCACACTCACAAAAATAAGTAAATAAAATGTAATGAAACTTCGTTTAGAATTTGGCTCAATCACCACTCTGCAATATGCCCTGTGTGTATCTGAACAACGACACTGCTTTCCCTCAACCCATCTAGTGTCTTTTCTATAGCAAAAGTAGACATCTATAAGCAGAATAGCATCTGCATTACAGGATTTGATAAGAACATAGAATTACTCTTCCCATAGCTAAAAGACTTGGGCTATCTTTTAAATAGCTGAGTGGGCCAGCTAGACGGCTCACTGTGTAAAAGGCGCTTGCTGCCAAGCCTGATGACCTAAGCTTGGTCCTTAGCCTACAAGAAAGAAAGAGCTGACTCCTACAGTTGTCACCTGGTCTCCATATTCCCCCATACAAAATAAATAAGTAAATTAAAAATACATGAATAAATAAAACCAGAGAAGGAAGGGTGGTAAACACAGCTGCCCTCCACCTTGCTCGTCATATTCAACTCCTCGGATTACTCACATTGCCTTTATAAATCAAGTCTCGCCTGTTTCACATGGAAGTGGGTGGGTCTTATTTACCAGAATTTAATCACATTCAGGTTTGGTTCCAAAGAAGTGCGTGTGTCACTTCAATTAGACATCACAGGGTAATATTGCTACCTTATGATACTCACTTCTCAGTTGTTGCTGATTCAAAGGCCAGGTAAGGAGGCACACTGCCGTCATCCCAGCACTTGGGAGGCAGAGGCAGTAGCAGAGCCAGAATTCCATGGTCACCGTGGTCTACATAGAAAGTTACAGGCCTGGGCTGGAGAGAGAGTTCAGAGGTTAAGAGCTCTGGTTGCTCTTCCAGAGGACATGGGTTCAATTCCTAGCACCCACGTGGCAGATTACAACTCTCTATAACCCTAATTCCAGAGGATCCAGCACCCTCTCACAGACATACATGCAGGCAAACTATCAACGCACATAAAACAAAATAAAGAAGTTCCACACCAACTACATGAAGAGGTCCTGAATCCTGTCTCAAAAACAAACAACAGTCCTAAAAAACAAACAGCAAAAAAAAAAAAAAAAAAAAAGCATTGTTACTCAGGCTTTTGGAGTGTAAGGCCACCCTACTATTAGATCTATGTATCGTTTATTCAAGAATTTAGTAAGAATTCACACGCACACACACCGAGAACCAGGCCTGTGATTGCCCACTGCCTGAGGTCTTCAAGCTTCGAGCCCATTTGAACTTTTGCAGTTGTAGATAGCACCAATGGCATCAAAACGGAGATCTACTGCATCATGAGATTCTCACAGAGTCTGTGCAAGACCCTGGTGACTCTGTCGTTGTGCCGTGGCTTGGATGTAAAGTCACCAGAATGCCTAGAGAAAGTGCATTGACTCCTCTTTGCCTTTCCCATGGTTCTCCCCTCTTGGAGTTGTTCCCTCATTCTCTTGCTTACGAGGCTGGCTGTCCTTAGAACTTCCAAGAGCCGCATGTGGCCTGGCAGGAGTCTTCCGGGGCAGCCGCTACTTGACAGCAGGACCCGGGCATCCACAAGAGAAGGTGAGCACCGCGAGAAGAGGCAGAGCTGGAGTTAGATTCCGAATGCGAGCGGTAGGACGGGAACCACCAAGGAGCTCTTTGCCCAGACATAGAGGCACAGGAAAGGAAGGGCTGGATGCGACCATGGCCTGTCTTACAGGTCAGTGGAGTCCCCATCTGAGAAGCCAGGGAGCAATAAGAAGAAGTGCCTGCAATAAGAAGTCGGGCGGTGGTGGCACACGCCTTTTATCCCAGCACACTGGAGGCAGAGGCAGGCGCATCTATGTGAGTTCGAGACCAGCCTGGTCTACAGAGTGAGTTCCAGGACAGCCTCCAAAGCAATACAGAGAAACCCTGTCTCGAAAAACAAAAACAAAACAAAAAAAGGATGTATCAACCACTTAGAATTCCCCCATCAGGAGGCACAAGTCTTCCTTCCTTCCTTCCTTCCTTCCTTCCTTCCTTCCTTCCTTCCTTCCTTCCTTTCTTTCTCTTGATTAACATTATCCCCAGATATTTGATGCTGTTTTTGGCTATTGTAAAGGGTGAGATCAGTTTTCATATAGACCAAGCTAGCCCCACTCTTTGTTTTGTTTTGTTTTTTGTTTTACGAGACAGGGTTTCTCTGTATTGTTTTGGAGGCTGTGGTTCAGACCGGCCTCAAACTCACAGGTTCTACAGACCTGAGAAGGCAGGAGGGAGCTGTCGTCAGGGCCCAGAAGACTGCCCAGCAGCTCTCACTTTTGGTAGAGAATCAGAACTACTAATAGTTTCACATTCAACAAGGAAGGAGTCAGGGGAGCACTCAAAATTCTCTCCCGCCCTCCTTTCACCTCCTATGGGGGTTCCTCCCCGGCTTCCCTGTACTGCCCTTGTCCTCCTGGAAGGGGCCTATTGACACTGCCTTTAAGGTCAGCCTTCTGGGCAAGCGCTAAGTGGAGAACCTGGACAGAAGGTAAGAAGTGAATGGGAATATCTAGACACAAGAGCAAAGTGTAGAGTATTTTTCTGGAAGTATTCACATCAAACTAGTTGGGATTAACAAAAGACTTTTTAAAAATACACATGATTTATTTCGGAGCAGTGTTAGATTCATAGAGCAATCAAGAAAGTTGCACTCAGGAGGCAGAGACAGGCTGCTCTCTATAAGTTTGAGGCCAGCCTGGTCTACATAGCCAGTTCCATACCCTGTTTTGTTTTTTTAAAGGCCAAACAGCCCTTTTATGATATACTTTACATTGACATTTGCCCCAACTCAGGAACAGTGTGTATACACGGTTGTCTAGACTTCTTAGCTCTTACCAACATAATGTGAACCTGCCCAGATGCCACATTACATTTGATCAGCACGATTTTCTAGGCTCCTCTGGACTGTTTCTCAGATGTCCTTATTTTCAGTGATATTAACAGATTTGAGAACTCACTAAGTAAATAGGCTGATACTCTGCTGGGATCTGTGTGACAATTCATGTGGTTAAACTGGGCTTCTGTTTTCTTGGATAGCAATCACAGAGGTAAGGTGTCATCTCATCACACAGTGCAGGGAGTCAGTCAGCTTCCCTGACCTTCAGGTCTTCCCAGGTTCCTCACTGTGAAGCAGTTTTCCCTCCCTACCTCCTTCCTGTTCTGCCATCACTGGAAGAAGGTATATAGCTTGTGCTTAAGAAGTAGGGAGTTAAACTGAACATCCTTGAGGGTAGAATTCCTATATGAAATTTTTGAAGTTCTCCTCCATGGGAGATTAGTTTCTTCTTTCTCATTTATTGATTTATTCAATACTTCATGTCACACTGTGTGTGTTTTGTTTATACTTTAAATGATGACTTAGTACAATTAAAAAGCAAAACAAAATCATATTGTTCCAGTTTTGCTTGTTATGAGCTCCTTGGTTGGCTCCTTTGTGTGCTGTAGAGCCGAGGGCAGCTTGGCTCCTTTGCTGCCATGACAGGCTCAATAGACAGTCAGAAAGAGGGCCTGCATGTCGGTTTACCCAAAGCAACACCTGACTTCAGGAAAGACCACAAACTGAGGCCACCCAGGCACTGTCCAAGAATAGATCAGCATCCAAGGGGAAAATACCTACTGTTCCAAAGGAAAACCTAATGTTCCAACCATTGTAGATAGGATCACCAGATGTCCCTCAGCCCAGCACACATCCATCCTCTGTCACCAAGACAAGACAAATGTCAGCCAATCAGGGGTCCTAAACATTAGAAATTCCCCACCCCAACCTCTGCTATGATAAAATCCCCACCCCAACTGAGCTCAACACTCTCCAGTCTTGGACACGTGGGGGTCCAAGCTCGAACTTGAAATAAAGGTTCTTTGCTTTTCCATACAAGATTGGGCCTCCAGGGTGATTTTAGGGGGGTCCCTATGATCTGGACATAACATGGATCCCTCCAGTGCAGGGAATATTTCACATGGGGGGCATATCCTTACGTTCTGGCACTATATGACATTTCAGACTTATCCTGTGCATTTCTTTTTCTTTTTCTGTTTGGTTTTTTGAGACAGAGTTTCTCTGTATTGTTTTGGAGGCTGTCCTGGAACTTGCTCTGTAGACCAGGCTGGTCTTGAACTCACCAAGATCCACCTGCCTCTGCCTCCTGACTACGTATTTCTTGTACTGGCTCATGACTGAACCCTTTCTCTACAAGGGACTGCCTGTTGGATGCTCTCATCACTACTAGAGTGTTGTTGCTTTAAGCCATCTTAACTG